TACTTTTAATGTTTTTTTTTAAAAAAAAACCCTAACCAATAAAAGATTATAATCCATTTTTAACATGCATAAATATTTTTAAGATCTGATGGTTAAGAATATGTTCCATTTTTAATCATTAAAATTCAAACCTCTTATCAAATTCTATGAAAATTGGTTTGATGATGGTTTCGTAAAAAAAATTCTAGATATCCTGGATAGAGAATGCGAAGTGGCCAAAACAACATAATGTTGCTAGACGATATTGGGTGGAAATTGATAACAGGTGTTTTTTTACTTTTTATTATTAAAATAATAATAATTTAGGGCGTCAGGTCTCAACTCTCAACTGCCCAAAGGACTGCGTGTTGAGATTATGATTGAAGATTAAAATAATTGAGGATAAGTGGGAGATTGTTGGCTGATTGATTGATTAAAGGGATGGACCGGCAATTCCCAAGTCTAAGATAAGGTTTACTATTTGAGCACAAAGGCACCGCAAAAAGAATATGCCAATTCTTTCATCTTTTCCCCTCTCTCTCTCTCTCTCTCTCTCTCTCTCTCTCTCTCTCTCTCTCTCTCTCTCTCTCTCTCTGTTTGTTTTTTTGGGCATTTCGTCTTTCAAAATGTAAGTGTGGTGATTCATATAACATTCATAAAAAATTAACTTATACTTGGTTACCATTTCAGATTGATTAATAAATTCCCAATACAAACCACGAGGTGGTAGATTATTGATAATAAACGTTGATTTATAGACCAGATCTAAAATTTGATTCTTTTGATTAATATTTTTAAAAAATTTATTATCGAATACTTAAAATTGTGCATTGAAAAATATCTTTTAATTATATTTTAAAAAAATTAAGTTTAATATATGTAAAATTTAATCCAAAAATATTTTTACTACTATATATATATATATATATACATACATTTGACATCAAAATATAATTATTTGTTATCGAGGAAATATTATATATAAAAAAAAGGGTAAAGATTTTGAATCTTTAAATCCTCGTACAATATGGAGATTGATTATAGCATTATTAAATAGGTACATATAGGTTATGTGATGAAAAAAAAGAATTTTTTTTTAATTTGTTTTTTTTACTCTAAAGTGACTTAAACTTGACGTAAGATATTATCGCATCTCATATTATTAAATCACACTTAATGATTATTTTATGTACGTTTTTATAGTTTCAATGAAAAATAAGTATCGCATCTTGTATTATAAAGTCACACTTAATGATGATTTTGTGTACCTTTTTATAGTTTCAACGAAGAATAAGTATCTTATCTCGTATTATTAAGTCACACTTAATGATAATTTTATATATATTCTTTTTATAGTTTCAACGAAAAATAAGTATCTCACTCTATGAGTGATGAGAGTCGATGTCAGTCTAAAATAAGAAAATATTTTCCAAAAATGAACTTTTCCATTTTTTGCGGGTTACTTAGAACCCATTTTGGATTTTGCTTAAAGGGGCAAGTTTTCTTTCTTGCAATTTCCGCTAGCGTTGGAATTTTCTCAAGTAAAAGAGAGAACAATTATAAGAATGCAAATTCTCTGCACTTTTTCATAAGAAAAAACAATCAAATGGCAAAAATGAGGACTGAGATATAGAAGATCAGTAGATTAAATCAATCCAAGGAAAACATTTTCTTTTTCAAGTACCTTTGTCCCAAGCTAAGATGCCAAGAGTAGATTCCAAGCCGGGAATATCCCACTGAAAGATCCGATTCCTCCAAAGGGCTAAACAGTCCAAATATCTCAGTTCCACTTGTGTCACATACACAATAGTCCAATTTAACGTGAGTATAGAGTCTCTGGCCTATGGATTTTTTTTTTTTTTTTCCTATCAGAGAAAACAATTTTATGCATTTAGAGAGCTATAAAAATCATATAACAAGGTTTCAAGTAAGAGATTAAGTTTTTGAATGAATTAATCATTTGATATGGTATTAAAGCTTATTTAACGGTAAAAAAATTTAAATCTTACCACCTTTACTTCTTTTCTAATTATATAAATTAGTCCATCTCGTTTCGAGAAATAAATTAATTAGTTTTTTATTTTAAAAACTAATTGTTTAGTCTTTTAGTTATTTTTTAATTTATTTTGATTCTTTATTTTAAAAAATAAAAATAAATAAAAATATGAAAAGATTAACGAGTAAAAAAATTTAAAATAAAAAATACTAAATTAATTGTGATCAATGCTGGTTAAAAAATTAAAAAATTAATTTTTAAAAATAAAAAAATTAATTAATTTATTTATTTTTAAACAAGAGGGACTAATTTATAATTTACTCAGATTTTGGTTTAAGTGGTATATAGATATTCTGTTATAAATTTCAAAAATCTGATTACTAGTTTTTAATAAGATAATATATTTACGTTCTATTCGTTTTATTTATAAAAATAATTTAAACTCTGATTTAAATTTAGATATATTTTTTTATTTGTCAAAATAATTCAAATTCTGATCACGAGCTAAATGTAATGTAATGTTTCTAGACATGTGTAAATATAAAAAGTAAAATATTCTCCGTAGATTTTATGATTTGTCTGTTTATGCATCCATTTCAAAATAATATATATTCTTCGTAGATTTATGGTTTTGCCGTAAAGAGATGTCAAGAAATAGGTGGTGGCAGTTTGTCAATGATTTGGGCCATGCATGCTTCGGCTTTATCTTGCCAGATAATATTAGTTGTTGATATTGATCCATAGAGGGCATGGATATTCTCTAATGCCATGGAATTATACCATTCGTCATAAATAAGCAAAGGTCGTCAGGCTTGGCTTCAACTCTGCAACTACAATTATTTGATATTTTTCAATTTCTTTTCCATCTTCAATGATGTGAAGGGTGGGATAGAAATATTGAATTATGTATAATTACTCCTTCGTCGTTATAAAATTTATCTTATCTTTGGCATCCATAAATTAACTAAAATTGTGGAATTATATAATACAAAAGAAAAAATTATTTATTTAAAATTTTATTTATTTAAAGATAATAATACTATATCGGATTGAATATAGTAAATTTTCAATTCATTCCTCAAATATTTTTACAAAATCGTACGACGATTTATGTTTGATTAACATCGATTTTTTTTTCTGTTTTATAGAATTTAACAAACAATTATTTGAACCTGAGTAGTCTTTTTTTTCATCAATACTTAAAACTCTTGATCGGTACTAGTGGTAATTAAGTTTTAATTATTTTTATCGAGTGCTACGTTTTTCTTCTTTTCCTACTATATAAATAATTAAATAAATATTAATTGAAAAATACAAACTCCCTTGTATAAATTCCTACAGAAAAAAGCATGCTTGATGCTGAAATAAAGAAAATTTTATGCTTGCATTTTTTAGGAATATTAAGAAAAAAAATCCAAAAAAAAAATCCTATAATCGCATATGACTCGGATTTATCAAAAAATTTATAGTACAATAGTAATGATTTCTTACAACAAAAAATCATTAATTCAAACCTTAATGAATTAATTCTGTTAAAAAATTTAAGTGTGTGAGTTATAAAAAAATAAAAAAAATATAACCGGGATGGAAGAATTTTTTTTTTTTTCACACTAGATCAACGTACACGTGTCAAAATTAAGCCCCCCACCAACTGTTAATGATCACGAGATGATGATGGATGAGAATCTAAGTTCGGAATATCCATCTTTTAATTAATCCCATAAATTAGGAAGATTAAGACCCTCTGAACACGTCGCTAATCTTGAACTCCATGTCCCCACAGATAATAAATAAATCCATTAATTAACAAGTGATTAGCTTAAAAACTTTACCCTAATAACTCTTCTGAGTTCTGTCCAACCGAACCCAAAATCCTCGAGCAGCCACAGAGGAGAAAAACTGCCACGTGTTTTTCTTATTAAAATAAAACCAAATAATAAATGAAGAGTAAAGTACAGTTTGCCCCCTAAAGTTTAGTGATGTTTCCACTCTATAGTGTTTATTTTTTCATAAAGAAAAACATTCAATTCATGGACCATTAGATTAGTGCGACCCACTTTAAATGATTCAAATGAATTCTTAAAATTTTATCATACTTTCTTAATATTTTGCATTACTCAAAAATATTTTAAAATAACAATTTCAATTTTTAAAAAATCAACACATTAATGAAATGTTCCTTTATAATATTTATTTTATATGGAACTTTTATATATGTATTCATATTTTGTTTTAGTGTTATATTTTAAATGGGTTTTTTATTCAATTTTTTTTTCACAAATCTATTTTTTTAACTTTAGAAAAAGACATATCATTTACGGTTGAGTTGAGAGATTTGTTTACTAATCGGACAACTTAAAATTTGATCGAGTTTTGAATTCTTATGATTAAAAAAATACATTTTATTATATGTAATAATTTTGAGAGAAAAATATATATAATATATTCACATATGAATTGATTAAATTCGATTGATAACGTTGATGTTTTAATATCATGAAATTTTTAAGAACCTCATCATTCTTATAAAGAAATCAAAATTTAGGGTGTCTCTATAAATAAAGCTATTGAGATGGTAAGTATGTCATTTTTCTATATAAAATTAAGAAAATAAAGAAATAATAAAAGAAAAGGATTAAAAACCTTGACATTCTCTTCTTTTCTATTTCTAAAATTTACCGATATGAAATCTTTTGAAAAATCCCGAGTTAGCTTTGGAGGTATTAAACATTAAAGGATGAAGTGGAACATTACAAAAACTACAGGGATCAAAACGTACTTTAAACAAATAATAAAATAAACGATAAAATCTCTCTCTCTCTCTCTATCAAAGGGAATAAAACCAGAGGTATACCCTTTTCTGAAAATAAATACAAACACAAAATTGGATATTCCAATACTAGCCTTTCGAATATTCTTATCTTTACCGTTATATCTCCCCCTCCCCTCTGCTTTCTTTCATTCTCCCCCACTTTCCCTCACATTCCCTCTTATTTTCTCAGCAACCAAACACTCCTCTCTCAAAATGAAATTCGGCAAAAGCTTAAGCAACCAGATTGACGAAACGTTACCTGAATGGAGAGACAAGTTTCTCTCTTACAAAGAACTCAAGAAAAGACTGAAACTCATTGAACCAAACAACAACAACAACACAAGCAAGAATAACGGAGACACCCGGCCAATGAAAAAGCCGAGGTTGGCCGCCTCCGCCGCCGATGCCGGTGCTGGAGATAGCATGGAAGGAGGTATGACAAAAGAAGAGATTGACTTCATTAAGCTATTAGAAGACGAGCTTGAGAAATTTAACAGCTTTTTTGTTGAGAAAGAAGAAGAATACATCATCAAATTAAAGGTAATTCTTCTTTTCCAAATTTCTTACACCATCTGTTTGGTTTCGGAGAAAATAAAATCGGAAAATTAAATTGTTAATCTGAATTATCAGGGACTTTCGTTCACGAAAAACGGTGTCGTTTCTTAATATGGATCTGTTTTTACTGTAACGGACAGTTAAAACCGTTAGTTGCCAGCTGTCGTGGAATCGTCAACTGGCGCGCACCCCATAAATGGTAGTAGTAGACTAGTAGTTGTCAGGGAATTGTGCTTTGGTATATTCTGTGTGTAACATCTAATTAATCTAGAAGTTGAGCACAATTAATGTCAGTCTCTGAAAAGTATTAGTGCCCATTGGGTAATCTTTTTTCCTTCTTTTTGGCTAATGGATTTTAAACAATGTAGGGATTTTAAACAGACTCTTCACAGAGTCTTGTTGACAAGTTGAGATTGGTTTTTCAAGTCGGTGGATTGTATTTATTTAGGATGGTTGGTAGAGATTCTTGAGAATAATAAACTTGGGTACGCATTATACTTTTTTTTAATCCCTTTGAATAATTTCTTGAACAAGAAAGGAATAAGATGCTAAAGTGCCTTAGGTTTTTTAGATCTGTTTTTGGACCTTATTTCAGTTAGTAAAGTAAAAATAGAATCTGCTCAGTTTCTAGGAAAATTGAAAATTTGTGATTGGGATGCAGGAGTTGCAAGATAGTGTGGCAAAGGCAAAGAATTTCAATGAAGAAATGATAAAAATTAGGAAGGAGATTGTAGATTTCCATGGAGAGATGGTTTTGCTGGAGAATTACAGTGCTCTGAACTACACAGGTACTAGCATACTTCCTCTTGGTTGTTAAATTTGTACAAATCATATTGGCACGAAAGAAGGATGAGTGATTTGCTTGGTCTCAACAGGATTGGTAAAAATACTGAAGAAATATGATAAAAGAACCGGTGCTCTCATTCGCTTGCCCTTTATCCAGAGGGTTTTGCAACAGCCTTTCTTCACCACTGATTTGCTCTACAAGCTTGTTAAAGAGTGCGAAGCAATGCTCGACCGCCTTTTCCCATTGAACGAACCACCATCTTCAGTTGAAGCAGCTGATGGGGATGACTCATGCGATCCTTCAACCTCTTCGACCACCACAGATGGTGGCATGCTTGGTTTCCCGAAGGAACTTTCAGAGATTGAGCTTATGGAGAGTTCATATATGAAAAGCACCATATCTGCTTTGCGAGTTCTAAAAGAAATCCGAAGCAAAAGCTCCACTGTTAGTGTTTTTTCATTGCCACCACTTCAAATAAGTGGGTTGGAAGATGCTTGGAAGAAGGTTCCTATACTGGAACAAGAAGCCAAGTGATAGGATTTTGGAGAGGGATGCAGGATTGGCACCTCTATTTTGTAAAATTTCTCTCTTTTTTTAATCCCTTTTTAGTTATTACCTTTCATGCATATAATATGCACGTCTTAGATACTAACACATATTGTAAGATGTTTACTTCGTGAATCTTATGCTCATGTATAACAGAAACTTTGCCTTCTGTAGAACTTCACTTTGTCTTCTGAACTTCGCTGTCTTTTCTTCTTCACGTTTCTTTTTTAGCATTAACATTCAATGCACGAAGTTGCCGATTTCTGGGTCTTAAAACAGCAGGGATCAAAGATTCAAAGCTATAGTAGTATACTTCTATTTCACCATTAATAACAGATGGAGCTTGGATTGCAATATTTGCATTGAACCCCTGAGCTTTTCCTGTTAGAAGAAGTTACTGTGGTAATGAACTGTTTGGCCTGCTTCTCGATGATCATCAGACATTACTGATTGATATGCTTGGAACAAAACACACCCTGACACGTGTCCTTCGCAACTGTGAAAGAGGCCTCTATCTGCTCCAAATATGCATACCCCCGGGACTCTCGTATTAAAGGAATTCCTACAACCAGGAACACCCTGTTCGCCAATCTTATCAGCAACTCTTAGGGTTTAGTTCATTCTCCTACTTGAAGGAAATAAATATAGAAGAAATGCATGAAATGATGCTGGAAAGAAACATAGAGGACGTGTATAGAATGAAAGATATTATCTCGCACGAAAAAACAATGGTACTTACGTCATTATCCACAAGACATTTATTTAGAAAAATTTTCAACTTGCATACTTGCGTCAATATCTACAAGACATTAACGTATGTTTACAAGATGTTTATTTAGGAGGATTCTTAATTTGCAAAAGCTGAAGTCACGGTCCATTATGATGCCGAGAAGAAACATATAAGACACGTATGAAATGAAAGATATTGTCTCGCACGTTACCATCAAAATTGATGGTACTTCCGTCAATATCGACAAGACATTCACTTATACTCACAAGACACTTATTTAGAAGGACTCTCAATTTGTAGAAACTGAAGTCAGATTCCATTATGTATCAAGAAAAACACTTTTTTATCCTCGAGAAAAAGACAAATAAGCATTCTACTTTATGCAAGTTGATTTTCTCTACGTTAATTTAACATATATTAAAAATTAGGTTCTATCCTCTACACTATATATTCATATACAAAATCATACTATATATTTTTTCAAACATAGCAAAACACACTGCTAAGTCACTAAAAGATATGATATTAAGTCTAATCATGTCAACCATTTATGTTCATACGTTTAATTTAACCATCGAAAAGTCTTTCAAATATCATATAAGAATTTGTTTTACAAGTATATGCCATAAATCGCCAAGATAAAGATCAGCTAAAAAACCAACTTCCAACCGTTCAAATATTAAGATCACAAGTATCATTTTTTGTTTGTTTGTTTGTTTTTTTTTTTTTTTTAAAAAAAAGAAGAAGACAAGTGCAGGATCTTTGAATATGCTGTAATCTACTGTAGTTCTTAATCGTTGCCAGCTTTAGATTTTCAACCAGTGAGGTTCGCTTCAATTGGACATGTTCTATTTTCAGGCTTTCTGCCCAATCATAATTTTTTTGGGTTCTTTTGGAAACAGGCTTTGATTATGAGAGCTGGGCTCAGTGCGCCTTTCCTTTGCCTGGGCTCTTGTGGACTCTCATATCATTGCTTTCCCTTTTCCTATTTATTTATTCAGAAGATTAATGTACCTTTGATTTTTTTTTTTTGGTCTTTACCCAAAATTATATATTCTCCTTTCCTTTTTCACTTGTCAAGATTATATCGATTTTCAAACAATTCTTAAAGCTTAACTTTTTTCTATTCGATCTTGTAACTAGATATTCTAATCTATAATGGCCAAATCATATATTACAAATAAGTTTTACATATATCAAGGAATTATATAATTTGAATTTTTATTTATTGAGATTTTAAGTTTTGTTTTTATCAAATTTAAAAATTCTACTCTTATATTATTATTGTTTCAATCCGTAATGTGTCATGTAATCACATGCAACGAGTTCTAGTTAAAAATAGCTTACTATGTGTTATGACGGATCCAAATTGGATAATGACATAAAAAACTTAGAGTTTTAATAAAAAAAATTTGAATTATACGAGGTCTCATATATATATATATATATATAACCCCATTATGAATACATAATTATGTTTACTTTTTCTTTTGCTTGTATTATGTTTCTTTATTCTTTTTCGTTTTAAATTCATCCATTTATATAAATTTAGAACCAAAAATAGCAGAAAGACATAATTAAGAAAAGAAGTAAAGAGTGGATGGGTTTGAGATTCTGGCCCAGCCTGTTGTGAGGCTGTATCAGGCTGAGAGGCTTCACCTTTGCTTGGGCAATGGGTTTTGGGTTAGTGCTTGTAATTGTTGTACGTGATGCTCACCCTATTGATTTTCGCGTTAATTTCCTATATTTTTCCTTTAAAAATATTGTATGTACACTTGATCAATCAAATTCAAGTATAATTGTGGATTTGATATTATTATCAACCTTAGTGACAATATGTTGGGTTAATTAGGTATGCAACTTTTTATTTTTCTATGCCTTGAAAAAACCATATTTTCCACACTATGTTTATCACCCTTTAATTAATTTGTTTGTTGCCTTTTTGCCCATTAATTTTATTGTCACTATATGCTTGTACCTAAAGATTGGTTGGGATTAATATTGAGTAAATTATAAATTAGTCTAATTAGTTTCTAAAATAAATTAAGTATTTCCTTTTGTTTTAAAAACTAATTAATTAATCTATTGACCAGTGCTTACCATAGTTAATTTAATATTGCTTTGTTTTAAAAAATATCTTTGTTTCTTATCAATTTTTTTATATTTTTTACTTTTTTTATTTATTAAAAAAATAAAAAGAATAAAAAAATTAAGTTACAAATATATTTAAAAATATAAAAACTAATTAATAAGTTAATGAAACTAGAGTGATTATTTGATTCCTTTTGAAAAACTAAATGGATTACTTTATAATTTACTCATTAGTATTAAGTGATCTCCACGTCTTCAAATACTATAAATTTTCTTGAAATATATTGTACCTCAAAAGGCATGTGAAAATTGCTGAAACTATGGATTAATCATGGAATATAAATTAGTATGATGGTAGGGTACCTTCTAAGCAAAATTGAAAATTACACTGCTGGCCACTAACCTATCTTATATATATATATATATATATTCAAGTCTTTAACATATCTAGGAAAACAAATTTGTGAAGTTGCCCAAATGGATAAGGACTTTGCTTGATGATCAAAGTATGAATTAAACACACATTTCAAATCAAAGTTTGAAAAAATTACAAGCTGGATATTGCAAACATGAGAGTGAACTATGAACCAACTAGAGTAAAAACAATTAAAGAATTTCAACTTCTCGTTAAGCTTTGGAAGGAATAAGACAAGGGAAAAGCAGAGTAAGTTTTAAGTTTCCCTTTGTTGTTTACAACTAGTCTTGATAACAAATTAATGGCAGATATATTGGTTGTTTATGTGCATGTATTTCCTACATCGTATGCAAGTTCCAGTGGGAATATCACGATAACACGAAAAAGGTTACCTTTGCATGTAAGCTAATCCATGCAAACATATAATTTGGAAGCTCATGTGAATGCAAAGAAAAATTTGTAGGAAAAGAAGGATATATAAAGGTGAAAAATACCTCTAAACCGCGTTAAAGAATATAATAAGATAAAGAATCAAGTATGAAAGTTCAGCCCTCCAAAAATATACTATCATAAGCGAAATCCACTCTGTTCCTACAAAAAAACAAAGATCAAAAGGAGCAACACCACTACTATATCTTTGGTCCCACGCGTCTCCACTAGCAAAAGAAGGATGATGAGCAGCCCAAAATTCAATGAAATGGACACTAAAGGAAGTGGATTGAGCCATTTAAATTTGGCTATAAATACTCTGTTAATGCAAGTTCTAGTAGTAATTAGTTAAGAAGAGAGAAAGCATAGAAGAATGGAACGATTATGGCTGGTTGTTTTGGTGATTTTTGTTATGGCTTTGTCTGTGCAAAGCCAATTGAAAACAGGGTTTTATTCTTCTTCGTGCTCAAAAGCTGAGGCCGTAGTTAGGTCCACAGTTGAAACATACTTCAAAAAAGATCCTTCCATTGCAGCTGGATTGCTCAGGCTTCACTTTCATGACTGCTTTGTTCAGGTTGTTGCCGTATATATATATTCTCCACAGCCTTAAGCATATTTTATGGACTAATTAACAACATTAATCTTTTACAGGGCTGTGATGGCTCAGTGTTAATTGCGGGGTCTTCTGCTGAGAGAAATGCCTTGCCAAATCTTGGATTAAGAGGATTTGAAGTAATTGATGACGCTAAATCACAGATAGAGACCTTATGCCCTGGGGTGGTCTCGTGTGCTGATATACTAGCATTGGCTGCTTGTGATTCTGTCGTCTTGGTAATTAATCTCTTCCTTTGCACATTAATCCTTAAATCAAATGGTACATAAATTTTATTTGCATGGTTTTCTTCTGGAGCTTGTTAATTAATTTATTACTGTATATTTTCAGAGTGATGGTCCAAGTTGGTCAGTTCCAACTGGTAGAAGAGATGGCAGAATCTCTTTATCATCCCAAGCTGCAAATTTACCTTCACCTCTAGACTCCATTGCTGTCCAGAAGAAAAAATTTTCTGATAAAGGCCTTGACGATCACGATCTCGTAACCCTCGTCGGTATAAATTCTTTCTTTCCTATTCTAGGTTACTTCCCAGAGTTTAACACCAAGTCTATCATCTTTCTTAACAACCAGGTCCAACTTAAGGTTTCGAACTTACGGTTGTTTAATGTTTCAGGGGCACATACCATAGGCCAAACACACTGCCAATTCATTCGGTATCGCCTGTACAATTTCACAACAACAGGCAATGCAGACCCAACAATAAACCAATCGTTCCTATCACAACTACGAGCTCTGTGTCCCCAAAATGGAGATGGCACAAAACCAGTTCCTTTAGATAAAGATAGCCAGACAGATTTTGACACAAGCTTCTTCAAGAACGTACGAGATGGTAATGGAGTTTTGGAGTCGGACCAAAGACTTTGGGATGATGCTGCAACACGTGATGTTGTGAAAAAATATGCTGGCACCATAAGAGGATTATTCGGATTTAGGTTTGATATTGAGTTTAGGCAAGCTATGGTTAAAATGAGTAGCATTGAAGTCAAAACCGGGATAGAGGGAGAGATTAGAAAAGTTTGTTCAAAGTTCAATTAATCAAATTACCAATAAATTGTTGTCCTAGCACCAAGTAAACCGGTTTTTAAGAAATTTTTATCAATACGCAGGATTCGAATATTAAGATCGAAGTTATTGAAAGAATTTAAATCTTATCGTTTCCGTTTCAAATATAATTAATACTATATCTAATGTAAAATTAGAATATGTAGAAAATGCAAAACAAGTTTAAGTAATCAATTAAAGTAGTATTGTGTAACATGAAAAAGTATACATAAGACAAGTGTAATGTATGCTACTGCTGTATAAGAGTTTAGAGAATCTAACTAAGAAAAATAATTTTTACTTGTTGATTCGATGGACTGATTTAAATTATGGATTGAGGTGTGGGAACTGATTCAATTTTTTATCGTTTTGAACTTTATGGATGGTAACGTTTAATGTTAATTTTTTTTATTTGATGATAATAAGAGGAATTTCGAATCAATTGGCGAACAATGTTAGAGATGCATCCCAAAATATTTCGATGTATAAATCTTTATAAATATTAACGTCATAGTTCGAAGTTAAAAAAATTAAAAAGAGAACAAAATAATTCCTTAACCACAAAATTAGTCCCTTAAAATTGTTTAAATTCAATGATTCTTTTCACATCTTGTGATAATAATAATATGATTTAAATATCAGTTCTTGCTCAACTATCATCTATGCTAAATCTCGTAATTTGCAGGTATTACTGTGTTGCTAAATTCATGCCGCGTGACTCGCTTTAAAATTAACCTTTGGACCTTATTGATATGTTAAGAGATTAAAGGACCGAATTGGAGAATCGATGGAAGAATTGTAGTTTCCAAAATTTAAGTGCTGATTTCGGATTTAGCTAAAAGAGAAGCGATTGATTGCCTGCCACTGCCACAATATATATATATATATATATATATATATATATATATATCCTCAAGGAAAAAAAGAAAAAAAGAAGAAGCAAAATTTCGACCTTTAATCCCCAACTTTCATTTACATTAAAAAAAGAAAAAGAAAAAGAAAAAGAAAAAGAACAAGTACTAACATCAATTTAATGCCCCAGTCTCATAATACTCTTTCATGGCATATTGTCACGGTCTCAAATGCGTTTCAATCACCGATAAAATTTTTATCTTCAATTAAAGTTACAAAAATTTTATCGGATTGAAATTCTGAAATCTTATTTATTAAAAGGAGCTAAATCTTATTATTTTTGTTCTAAACAATATTAATTTTATTTTCAATATGAAATGAAGATATTTAGAAAAAAACCAATATATGTTTTAATCATGGTTAAATTATATTTTACCTTTGTATAGATTTAGTAATGTTCCACCTTATTGGTATAACTTTAATTCTAATATTAATTCTAGAGTTCTTAAAAGCTTCAATCTTACGGTAACCGTTAAATAAGTCATGCAAAGCCAACGACAGGCTCATGCTTTGAGTAACTTTTTAAGTTTGAAGATTTGTGGGACATCGTGACGTATGTGGGGTTAACAAGAGTATAATAATAATAATAATAATAATTACAAATCTTTTTAAGTTTCCTGGGTTCTAGTTTTTAAGCTTTTTGTTAATTGCATTGTTCTTCAAAAACTTCAAGATCAACATTAGGGAAACGGAAGCTATTGACATCGAAGTGGAACAAATTATTTTATGGTTGTAAAATATTTTACCTTAATTTACTTTTTAATGAAATCTAATCTACCTTAGGGGTGAGCACTATTTGACTAAAACCAAAAAACCAAACTGAATCGAATTGAATTGAATTAACAATTTCAATTTTAGTTTCAGTTTAGTACAAAAAAATTTTTAAAAAAAATTGAAATAAAAAATCAAAATTATTTTAGTTACGTACGTTCTTTTTTTTTTAAATAAATCAATTTCCACCAAAAATCGAATTAGTGTTTTTTTTTTTTAACATACACGCAAGACTCATAACAAAATTAGTTTGTTAGGATTTAAACTCGTAACCTCTTGTAATAGACTACTACCATTGGACTATAAGCTCCACAATTGATTTATTTTTGTGTTCGAAGTACAAATTTATGCTTTCTCTCCCTCCGGACAAAATAAGAGAAAAGTCATATTTTCAAACTCCACAACTGATTTATTTTTATTTTTTGTGTTTGACATTAAAGATATGCTTAGATCAATTTATATATCAATCGAAATTAAATTTTTATTTAGACAATTTTAAAAACATACCCTCCATATTGACCTTATATATTCAAAGAGGTCCTAAAATTTAAACTCAAAATATTTAAAAAAAAAAAAAGGATAAAAAACAAATCTCCTTAACTACTAAACTATATGGATAAAGTTATTCTCTTCTATTTCCTCCTTATCATAAGTTTGGCCAACCACCTCTTCTAGTGTGAACAATGAACATGTTTGTTTTATTCCAAATTATTACAGACAATCTTAATAAGCACCAATATTAATTATGAAATCCAAACTAAGTTTGGCGACCTAAGAATTTCCACACTAATCTTTGAGATTATAATTTCACTAAAATTTGTCGGGCAAGATTCTTGAAAGATATTATAAAATTAATTAATAAAGTCTTTAATTTGTAACCTGTCAAATTGCTTCTTCAAATATGATTGTTTTGACAAGACTTTCCTTCCAAAAGTTAAAACCTTTTCTACTTGATTACTAGTCCAATTTCTCATTATGGAAGATGTTAGGGTACTAAATTTTCTTATTATATGACGTGACATCTATTAAAAAAAATTAAAATTATGGAATTTAGTTCTTATAGCATGGGATAATTACAATTTTGAAATTAAGTGATTAATAAAATGATGTCATGTCACTTGATAAATAATTTTGGTAAAAAAAATAAAAAAATAAGTATATCCATTGCGCTTATTGCATAAAAAAAACATAAACTTTATACTTTTTAATTATACTAGCATGCTCTTTAAATATTGGATAGAAAATATACAACCTAAACTTTTGTTAATCATATTAGAACGTGTTATTTTTTCCAACCAAAATTTTGTTAACATCTCACTTGGAGAGGAAAAATATTGACAACAAAGACGAAAATTCCTTACTATATCAAATGTTAACGGAATTTTGATAAAAAAAAAAACTATATATAATAATATGATTAACAAAAGCTTATTTTGCGTACTTTTCAATCTAACATTGAAAAAACGTACTAATATGACTAAAAAATATAACGTTTATGCCTTTTTTGACACAATAAGCATATCTATTACCCTTCCCACTATTATTTAATTGAAAATTTGTCTTAAGTTTTAATCAATAACTACACTTAATAGCAAGGCATTTTTTTTATGAATAACTTGTCCATCCCATTATGGGTAGTCTTAATTATATCTAATACTTTTTCTCCATAATGTTTTACTCGTAAATTCCAAATTTTATCACCTTCAAATTTTTTTTGTTTTTAATTTCTTCTCAATTCTTAAAATTTAACGTCACCAAACAAAGACAATTGCTTTTTTTTTTTTTTTTTTTTTTGATATATGCAAATAATGAGCATCCTCAAATTAATTTTTGCATCAACCGAGATTAAGTCCGTTGTTTTTTAAGCTAAACCAATACTAAAATACATTTAATTTTTTGTTGATCACTTGACTCTCTTTTTAAAATCAAATGAGTTAAAATTTGATAACATTAAAAAAAAATTATAACTAATTATCATAAATAGTAGGAATTGTTGAACTTTGCTTTTAGGGATGACAATTTGCTCCGACTCGTCCCATTTGAGGTGGGGATGGGGCAAATTTTTTTGGGACGGGGTGAGGACGAGGATGGCTATCCACGTCTCTGTTTCATCATTTTGCCTTTAAAAATAATAATTTGATGAGATCCGTCCCATCATGTCCCGCCTCATTTGAGACGGAGATGATAGTTAAAATTTTATCATGAACAAAACATGAGGTGGAAATGGGATAAATTTTTTAGGACGGGACGGGGATGGCTATCCCTTCCTCCATTGTCATCCCTATTTGCTTTCAGCCAAATGAAGACAATTTCCTTACCGCAGGACTATATCCCTTGACGATGACAATTGCAATTTATTATCTCTCCTTCTTGTAACTTTGATTTCTAGTTTATCTTGAAAATCTTCATTGTCCTTAAGATTCGAACTTGCCTTCTACCCACCGCAAACTTGGCTTGACCTATAATTCGTGGTTTAATTTTCAAAGATTACATGAACAAGAGTGATTACCAAACATCATTTTCTGCACCTTTTTAAAAAATAAAAGTTGAGCTGAACTTTTGACTAGTAACTGTAGTCTTGTTAACTATTTACAGCAATGATTAACATGATCATACATGGATGGCAAAACACAAAATGCAAACATGATTATCAAATTTCATCTATTATTTTATTTTTGAAAAGCCAAACCAATATGACCGGTAAGTTCACCAATGACCTTTGACTTCCTCTCTCTCGGGCTTACAGAGTAATTAACTCAATTTATTTTTATATAAATTTAATTTTTAATATGTTTTTATAATTCTAATGATTTCTAAATATTATTGGTAAGTTCACCAATAACTTTTGACTTCTTCTACCTCAAGGGTACAAAATAATTAGCTTAATTTTTTTTAATGTAAATTTAATTTTAATATGTTTTTATATATAGGTTTGATTATTTTCAATGTATTCTTATATTTTAGATCGTTTTACAAACAATTTTTTAACGGATATTCTCATACAAACTCATAAAAATATCCTCATATTATAAAATTAAATTCAACCTGATTTATTATAAGGATAAATAACTCAATATACCTTAACATATATTTGAACAAGTTTTCAACATATACTTATATTTTTAATCAAGTCTACGATATCCAAATCTTCAATATGTTTTTCTTTCAATCTTTTTTTTTGTTCGAAATTAACATAATTATATTTTTTTATTCAATTTTTTAAAAATTTATATAAGTATATAATACAAAAATTATTCAGAATGCTTAATAAATAAAAATAGAAATAAATTAATTTTTTTTATGGCATGTGGTGTACACGTGTGGTCTTGGAATTGTTTTTAGTTCCCCTGGGGTTGGGCTTGTATTATTGGACCGGGCATGAATGGAAAATGACTTGGACCCTTTTCTAGACCAGCAGGTCCTTATCTGTTCTTTTAGCTTGCAATTTTGGCCCTGTCACTTTTTTTTTTAAAAAATTAAAACCTATTTACTTTATTGATTACACAAAAAAAAAAAACAATATTTTAGTAGGTGGTACGCATTCCAAGGTGGGGGATTCCCTAGAAAATTTCATAAAATAATAGGAGTAGTTGATTAGAATATTTATTTACAGACGAATTATCCCAAAAAAGGGTCCCATACCCTTAATTTTAAAGAATAATCCATGAAAAATATAAAAAAGAGATTCCCTATTAATTCATGCAAACTCATAACTATCGTAATCAGAGAAATAGAGTATCAGCTACTTCATAAGCAACTAAAAATTCATGCAAACTCATACGGTATTCTTAATTAAAATTCATTTATAAAGAAATTAAAATTAAAAAAATATAGACATTTTTGAAAAACATAGATAAAAATTAATAATATTTTTAATAAGTGTAAAATATTCTCTTAAAATTAGGGAATATTAAATAATTTTAAAAGAAATTTTCTATACTAAACAAAATAAAACAAACTTGGCTTGTGTAACTTTAAAATTAATCTATATATATGCATTAAAGTAAGTATAATTTTTACCAACAAGTTGTTGGCCAAGTGATGAGCAAATTGGTCTCTAAACGAATTTTTTAACAAACTATAAGGTTTAAATTCTGAAATCTTACTTATTGAAAAAAATTAAATTTTATAGTTTTTGTTTTAAATATAATTAGTTATATTTTCAATATGAGATGTGAATACTTTTGAAAAAAAAAATAGTGAGTATAATCTTTATTATCAAACTCAAGAATCAAGATTAATTATAAGGTAAGTAATGAACACAATCAAGAACCAATTTAAGGCAATTAAGCACATTCAGCATCCTAATTGCTATAAAAGGATGCCATATTATTATATTAAATATTGTATTTCCAAGGTCCTACACTCTTATCTTCTCCAACTTTTCTCTCTTTGACTCTAGTCTTCTTCTTGCTGACTCAGGAGAAACCTTCCCATGATCAACCAGGATTTGATCTTGTGTTCTTTGAAATTTGGTGCATACTAGCCCTATTGATTCATTCTAATCTAATTTTTGACATCAACAAATCTCAAACCATTAAAGACTCCGACAAGATTTGATAAGATGGACTCTAAAAATGATTTGGACAGGACAGACTCTGGTTGGTAAGCCCATCCCTAAAGATTACCCCATGATTTAGATAAGGAAAAAAAAAAGTTTTTTGGTAGGCAAGAAAGAAATAGTATGAAAAATAAGTAGATAAATAAATAGTTTTTTATTTTTTTATTTTTGTGAAGAAAAATAAATTGTTTTGGTTCTCCAATTCTCCACGGCAAGCAGCTCGTACAACCACAAAAATAGCCCCGCAAACAAGCCCAAATTGGTTATTTACGGCAAGACGTAAATAAAGAATGGGAAAGTACATTTTGGTTCTTTTAGTTTAACAAAAAGTTTATTTCAATCCCTATTTTTTCAAATTGCTCCGATTTTAAAACTTTAGATTTGAGAAGTTTTAATATTTGCCTTTTGTTGTTAAATACCCTAATTGATAGTAATAAAAGGGCTATTTATTTGTTTTTTTGGAGCTTTATGGGTTTTAATTGAATATAATTCCACTTCAAAAAAGCCCAATTCTATATATATAGTGATTTGTCCTCTTCAAATTAAGAGCTTTTTAGGTAAGGGATCATAAAGGTAATGACTTTTTTCCCCTAAAATTTAGCATTAAATGTAATTTTAATTATAACAACATGGAAATGAAGAAGTTATTCTTTTTAAATTTATAATCTAATTTTAATGAAAGTAATGGGTCCGGACAATGAATAGAAGAAGAAAGAAAGCGAAACAAAAAAAAAACTTCAAAATGCAGCAATCTGGCTGTTGATAATGGAAACTTAGAATATTAATTAGAAACGTGTTTATTTTTTATGAATTTTAAATATTCTCTATGCTAGATTCTTTATTACATATTATCGAAAACAAAATTTTTTTCCATTAATTGTAGAAAAAACATATTAGCACATGTTAGGAAAAAAAAACACTAATATCATTTTCCTACATTATATTTCGATCCTCTAAAAATATTTTTATAACAATATTATGAACCTAAGTTTTCACGAAGAAAAAGCATAAAAAAATTATTTTAATTAAGATACTATACAGATAAGATTTTATTAAAAAAAAAAAAGCTCAAAAGAAATAACAAAAAATCAAAGAAATCAAGAAGTATTATTTCATTTGTTATTTAGTTCGGGCCTACTACAATGATATTTGTTGAAAAAATCTAAAATTGATATTAGAAACATTAAACAAAATAGGAGTGAAAGTGAAACATTGTTAAAACTATAGGTCCCAAAAGTCACTTTACCCTAAACCATAACTCTCTGGTCCATGGACAGGCACAAAGATGCAGTAAGGCAAAGGAAAGGAGAGGAAACCCCGTACTCCATTATTCAATTCTCCCAATTTTTTTATTTTTTTCGGACAACCTCCTATACTCACACAGACAGACAGACAAACAGTACTGTATCCCTTTGTCTTCAAGAGTACTCAAACCTCCATTTGAAGCCAAAACTTCGTTCTTAATTATTGCCTTAAATTTTCTTTAATTAAAGAAGGTGCCGTGTACTCTTTCTTCATCAAAATTTCAAACTTTGCTGTCAATTTTCCATATTTATTAAGAAATATGGCTTCTCTTACTCCAATCTCTCAAACCCAGTTTTTATTTAACAAACCCCACCTCAAATTCTCCTCTCCTTGGCCTGAAACTTGTTTTCAATCAAGTTTTGTGTCAAAAAGGTTGTCTTTTCAATTTAAAGTTCCAGTCTCTGAGAGAATGCCTTTGAAAGCTGCTACTGTTGTGTCTGCTACAACAGCTGAGAAGCCTAAGAAGAGGTATCCGGGTGAGGCAAAAGGGTTTGTGGAGGAGATGAGGTTTGTGGCTATGAAGTTGCATACAAGGGAGCAAGCGAAGGAAGGGGAGAAGGAGGTGAAGGAGAAAGAAGAAGAGGCTGTGCGTAAATGGGAGCCTTCTATTGATGGGTACTTGAAGTTTTTGGTTGATAGCAAGTTGGTTTATGATACCCTTGAAGCGATTGTTGAAAAAGCTGCCTTTCCTTTTTGTAAGTTTGATTCTTGTTTTTAGGTTTTTTTGGATGATTAGTTTTCCTGTCGTTTAATTGTGTTTTTTGTTTATCTCTAGGGTGTAGCAATGGTTCTCTTGTTTGTGTAAATGATTTTTATTGGATTGTTTGAAGGATTGTGTTACTGCTACTCTTTTGGTTTGGCTATTATTTGTTTGTACCTGCAGTGTTGATCGGCATTATGGAATTTAATGTTATCCATCTATTATGGAAGTGTGATTTTGAATTTTTAATTCATAAACTGCCCTTTAGTATGAGGGGTGGGGTACGGGGCGACCATACTGGGATAAATAGTTGTATGATTCTTCTAAGAGTGGAGTTCGGCTTAGTTATGCTTAGTCTCATTAAGTTTAAGACTTCTGTTCTTGTGGTCGAGTGCTCTTTTGCAATCTGGAAAAGAAGAACAACCATAGTGCCAGTATTCCAAATCCAACACCCCCAACTCCCATCATCCATAATGGTATTTTGAAAGCTAAACTGATCGAGCTTAGTGTCTGCTTTCGTTACTGATTATAATTATTCACAAACGTTGGACATGCTTTTACATTTACCACTCCATGTCTGTATAGTGCACGGGGAGGGATCTTTTTGCTGGTGTTTTGGTTTTATTGTTTTTATTATCGATGCATCCCCAAGTTCCCTTTTGCTTTCTTTTTAACTTAAAGCACATTTTTTTAGACCATGTTATACCATATGTGTGTTGAATTTTGCTTATGACAGAGCTTAAAGCCTAAATCCGGTTTTATCTTTTCCTTTAGATGCTGAGTTCAGGAATACTGGATTGGAAAGGTCTGAAAAGTTGACAAAAGATTTGGAGTGGTTCAAAGAGCAAGGCTATACCATTCCAGAACCTTCTTCTCCTGGTGTTACCTATTCCCAGATTCTGCAGGAATTGTCAGAGAAGGATCCTCAAGCATTTATTTGTCACTTCTACAACATATATTTTGCCCACTCTGCTGGTGGTCGAATGATTGGGAGGAAGGTAAGCAAATAGTATTAACTCGAAATGTGCCATAAATATTTTTCACGATACAATGTACGTGTTTACATGGATGGAGCTGTATCTATAGCTTCATGCTTAGCTGTTGGGTTTATCTGGTATTTGGTACTGTTTGATGTTTGGAGGTGAGTGAGATTTGAAGATTCTTCTCTTTTTCCTCAATGGTAACCATTTGTATACTGATTTCTCTGGTACTTGATCTTTATTTTCTTATATACCAGAATCCATTTAAGAGATAATTTATGTTAAGAGAATAGGTTAGGGGTTTTCTAATGAATTAGGAATGTGTCTTTTCTCTTGTCAATTATGGGCTGGTTTGCTTAAAGGCTGTCTGGCAGCAGATATTATGCACAGATATAACCCAGTGCGCAGACATTGGTGACATTTTTCAATGAGCTCTACCTTTTACTTTTTGAGATATGTCTTGAAATGCAGCTACATGATATCAATTATTATTTTAGTTTGTGAGGTACTATATTCACATTTAAGATTTTGTTTTACAACAGGTGGCTGAGCAGTTACTTAACAACAAGGAGTTAGAATTTTATAAATGGGATGGTGACCTTTCCCAGCTGTTGCAGAATGTCAGGGACAAATTGAATAAAGTCGCGGAGGTATTTCTCGCTGTTCTCACAAAATTGTCGTGTTAATCTCATTTCATTGCTAATTTCAACCTGTATTGATCCTTACATTTTAATCATTAATATGATTAGCTTACTTTTCTTCTATGAACTTTTTGTTACGAGTTCTATTACCTGGTAACTAATAAATGTTAATCGTTGGGATTGCTCAGAGCTGGACCAGAGAGGAGAAGAACCACTGTTTGGAAGAAACAGAGAAATCTTTCAAGCATTCAGGGGAGATTCTTCGCCTAATATTATCGTGATGTTATAATTGCTTGACATACTTATGGTCTTGTAATGGCGCAAGCCTTAAGTATTTGTGTATATTTTGAAGTCGTTTCTTTTCTGTAGTAACTTTACTTTCAATCAAAACATGTAACTTCTATTGTTGTGTAAAGAACTTTTCTCAATTCACGAATAAATTCCACAATCTTAAATTAGCCAAACCATAGTATTGAAATGCATTAGATATTTTTTGAGCTTTGTGGCGGGAGCTGCATTACCTTGTTTTTGAACTTTTGTTATAGAAAAAGTTCTTTCAAGTGTGGATAGTGTTCATGTAAAAAAAAAAAATAATAATAAGTCATTGATTATCAGATTGTGGAGTAGGTGCTGGGGCAATGAAATTAGTGATGTTTGGATTCTGCATTTCTGCTGCTGAAAACAGGTTCCCAAACTTTGAATCGCATGGGTGATGATGATGGCATTATGGCATCAACGTGGAATCTTGCCTTATGGCCTATGTAATGCGAGCATGCGATGTTACTTGAGCAGGTCTATGGCAAGTCGGGATGACAATTTGCCTCGTTCCGTCCTGCTCTGATCAACGTGAAGATTTCTCGAGTTGATTGGAGAACGGGATGAGACGTCTCGTCTCGTATTAATTTCGAATGGGAATGGGAGAAGGATGGTATTTACTCGCCTCATCTCGTTTGCTATATTCCATCTTTGAAATTATAATTATATTTTATATAAAATTTGTAACTATTGACATATAGGGTTTATTTTCTATATGAATTATTATTTTTTTGTTATAGTTTGAAATTTTATAATAGAATGGAGCGAGATGGGATGAAAATAAAAAATTAAACGGATAATTAATGCCTCATGGTGATCTCTTTTCCGTTTGACACCTTTTCCGTTTGGAGCAAGAATGATATGAGAAATATTTCCTTGCATGGGAGACGAAGCAGGAACCCAGGGAAGAGACCATGTTCAGGATAGAGACCTTGGAGGTGGCAGTTTGGAAAAGTAAAGAAAACTGATCTTCAGGCTAGCCTATTTAATCACTCCTCGTCTCGCTTCAGCCCATAAGGCAATAACTTCCATACCATACTGTTGACAGGGCCATTGTTTCTGGCTAATGAATTATTGCCCAATTCCACTCAGAAAAGGCCATGATATTAGATTAACTGTCAAGTACATTTGGAAGATATTGCCTTCCTCTCCATATACGTGTACATGTTGAAAATAATAATGTGCCAGCTCTTATCTCCATATATATGGTTGGAGAGGTGATAAGATGAAGTAACTTCTCTCTGGCTCTTTCTTACAAAGAGAGATAGATCAGGAGACAAAATGGTCAAAAAAATCTCATTGTTTTGCCTCGTCTTTGTCTTCTCCTCCATAGCATTCTCACATGCTAGATCTATCTCTCCTACCTTGCAGCCTCATGTTCTGAAATCCTTCAATCCCAAAAATACTCAGGTATGGAGCAATCAAATTTAACATTTCTTTTGACATGGCCTTGATTCACATTATTGAAACAACATTTATAATTGTTCTTCCCGTCCTCCCCAAACCTCTTTTTCTTGCAGGCTGCGAAGAGCTGTCCATACACACTTGTTATAAAGACCAGTTGCTCCTCTAAAACTTACACCAGAGACAAAATCAGTCTAGCTTTCGGGGATTCCTATGGCAACGAGGTTAGTATGCAACCTAGTTTGGTACTATATAGGATTTAACTCTATCTTTGGTTTGGATTCATGTCTGTTTAGTTGCTGAAATGATGTAAGAAAATACAAGGAAACCAGCAACATTCTTGTCCTTTCCAACTATACAAGAACAGAACATCTCTAGCCTAATCATATTTTCATGGCTGCAGATCTTGAGATCAAAATCTAAAACGAACCCATTAAAAAGAAAACAATTCTAGTTAAAGGGTCTGATCTGATTTATAAAAAAAATTGACTGATTGATTTTTTTAGGTCTATATAAAGAGGCTTGATGATCCATCATCTGGAACATTTGAGAGGTGTTCAACAGATACATTCCAGATAAATGGACCATGTGTATACGATGTCTGCTACCTGTACATGCTTAGAACAGGATCAGATGGGTGGAAACCGGAGAGTGTGAAGATCTACGGTCCATATACCAAGACTGTTAAATTCAACTACAATAAATTCCTTCCAAATGGGGTGTGGTATGGGATTAATGTCTGCCGTCGTGCATCTCTGTCAACAGCAATTATGTAGATGACAATGTGATGATGGATGGTGAATGTGTTTTGTTAAACACATTATGGTAATAATTAATAATGGGCTTCTCATATGGTTCTGGGTTGACCTTGTTGATCATGGTTCGATTTTAGGACCACATTATAAGGATCTATTTTCACCTAATCCTTTCCTTAAATACTGATAGTCTATTTTTACTGAATAGAAAAAATAGTTAGGTCATTCAGTTTTTTGGTTTGGTTTTGTAATATCTTGATTTGATTTTGTTTAAAACGAACCTATAAAATCAAAAAGCCAAACTCAAACCGAATTCTAATTCGGTTTTTTTTAAAAAAAAACCAAAATTTTGGATTTCAGTTTTGGTGCTTCAGTTTAAATGGATTTTTTTAAATTTTTTTTAAAATAATATAAATAGATAAATCCATCATATATCTATAATAATGTTAAGATATTAATTTTTTTAAAGTTTCAATATTTTAATTTAAAAATTAGAATTTTTTTTTAAAATAAATGAAGATAAAATTTGTTTTTAATTTAAACCAAATTCAAAATCTCAAAAACCAGACGAAAAAAATATATTTAAAAGCCTCTGAAATTGATATTTCAATTCAATTCCGTTTAGTTTTTTGGTTTTTGGTTTAAATGGAACAGTGAACACCCTTATAGAAAAGTTTTATAATACTTAAAAGCTGAAACAAAAAATACTTTTTATTAACAATAAAGGGATCTTTTTCTTTTTGGCGGGGGAAAGGATATTCATGTTGATAAAAGTTGTAGGACTTGATTCATAAACTCTTTTGAGCTGCCATTCACATGAAAATAGCAAAAAAAAAAAAATAAATAAATAAAAAATTATTAAAATTTAAATACAAAAACAAAGAAGATAGCGAAATTTATCAACATATATATATAATTTTTTTAAAGCTTAGCAAAATCCATATAATAATAGAATAAATTATAAATTAACCTCTCGTTTTGAGAAATAAATTAATTAATCCTTATTTGTTTTAAAAATTAATTATTTTATTTTTTATGTTTTATTTTTATCAATAATTTAATCATTCCGTTAGAGTTGTGATAAAGTATCTTTACTGTACGATTTTTTTTTTTCAAATTGTCCCTTTTCTTTTATGCATTATTTCTTTCATTCAAACATATATCCTTTCTTTCTCTCTCCTCAAGCACCAAAATAAATTCTCATTTCTATTTTCAAAATTTCACTCTCTACTTCTTTTTTCTCTCCTCAAGTATCAAAATATATCCTCATAGATGGATATATATGATAGTTTAGATATTAGGTTTTAATTTGACATATCTAGTAAAAAATTAATAATAAAAGATTAAATTATTAGTTTTTTTTTAAAAAAATTAATTAATTTGTTTCTCGAAACTAAAGAAATTAATTTATGATTTACTTTGTAATAAAGAACGATAGGAATTTGGGAGTTCGAACAAGTGAGAAGTGGTTTTACTAATTATTATGTGTTAGGGAGGTGGAGAAGAAAAATGTAATGGTAATATAAGTACAAAATTCATCAAAACAATGCTTTTTATTTTTTTTAAATACCAAATTTATTTAGGTTTTTTTTTATTTGTTGTGGAATGATATTTTTAGTATTTTTTTTCTTTTATGTTATGCTTTATTGGTTATGTGTAAATGACTAAACATAATAACTTATATTTTGAGGCATATAATTGTTATAGTTTAATGTATATATTTTAGGATTTAATTAATACTAAAATTATGTTATTCATGACTTTGATGATGATATATTGTCTTCTAATAAGAGGTTAATTATAATGAATTATTTTTATGCATAGAATTAAAATGAATATACTCTAATATTTAAATTGATTAGTGAAAATGAGACATTGTTATGATTACAATATTAAAGATAAAAATTGAGTTTATTTGCATAAATTTAAACTTTCTTTTTTGTAATATAAAAATTAGAATTATTAATTTGTTTGATTGTTTGAGGAATTTATCAATTCATTATGTGGAAGTTAAAGACAATTATAATCATAAAAGTTGACAAATTGAGAATTCTTTTTAAGAGAAACTTTCTAAGTGTCCAAAATTTGAATCTAAAGAAGTTTATTGTAGTTGGTGCTTGTGGTTTGCAAAATGAAGAAATTGATGCTAATGGTTTAGACAATGAAGAAGTTGATGTAATGGTCTGGAACGTGATCCTGGGAATTAGTTATTATATTTTTGTCAAATAATAAGGTTGGTTAGTTAAGAAAATTTACTCTTTTTTATTTTTTAAATTAATATTTACGAGAATTTATTTATTCAAATAAATTAAATGAATTTATTCTCAATTAATTGAAAAACTGGGATAAAGATAACTTGAAAAAAAAAACATATACTTGGAAAATGGCAAGTGAAAATGTCCTAAGCATTTTTTAAAATGAAAAAGAATTAATATTTTAAATATTTTTCTGTATCATTAAAAAAATGGTTGAAAAATATTTTCCGTTAAATAGTTTTTCCTTTCTTTGTACGCGCCGGTTTCAGTTATTTGGTGGTTGCAACGAACCCAAGTGTATCATCAGATAGCGCCTCACTTGTCGGAAATACTTCCCGTTCATTTTACTTCAATGCCCTTCCTATCCATGCCAAGTAAACATTGCCATTCTCTTCATTAAATAAGGGCAGTAACGTCAAAAACATATTTTCTAACACCAATTTCAGAAATTGCTTCTTAAAATTTCAAAAAGAGAGAAAATCCTCTGTTTTCTCGGTGAAAAAGGATGTCTAGTGCTCTGCTATCGAGTGTATGTTTTCTCCCTTCACAAAGTAAACATCTTTATCCCTAAATCATTGAAAAAATTCTCCTGGGTGTTTGAATTTTAATTTGGTTGTTTTGAATCTTTCATTTTACAATATGGCTTTTTATTTTTTTGCAGATAGGGAAGTGAATGGATATGTAATGAACCTGAGGAGTTCATTCTATGGTAAAGTGATAAGTAATCAAAGTCATGGAAAGAGGGAAATTGGAAGTATGCGGAGAGACCCTTTTGTTGCTGCTTCAGTGGTTTGTGGTTACAGCACTCGAACTTTCTATGTTTGATTCATTGGCTCTTTTTAGTTTAATGGGGGGTGTTATTTGGATATGGGTTCTTTCGTTTAATTAAATTATTGATTTTTAGATGTTTAGTGTGGTTTTTTTTTGGCACAGCTTGGAAGGAGGGTGCAGAAGAAGAGAGAGACAGTTGTTCCTGACCCTGATTACAGAATCCCAGTGGTCTTACTTGGTATGTAGATCAGCATTTGATTTTGTGTGCATACAGTGTGTTGCTTGTAAAAATGACAACAGTAGGAGAATGGCTAGGAGGATCTGAGAGGCATTAACTATGAAGATTTCCACTTTGAAATGAACTAGGAATTTTGAAAGGGAGTATTTTGATCCCAGTCTCTCTTTTTAGTTAATGGTGAATGAGATGGAAAGTAAGCAGACCAAGCAGTATAGAAATAGTGGCATTTCATTTCATAAATTGGATTGTGTATGGATGTGAATTGGGCGGTCTTTGGATGGAAGTTTTGTTTGGCTGAATCCGAGACTATGCATATCGAAATTTGCATTCATGCCTATTAATTAGCCTTTTCTTTCTATTTTTTCTTGATCGAGTCTGCTTGGATTTGGCTTTGGTTCAGTTGATGCTCCATATCTAAGAGTGATTGGATTTTCCAAGGTTTTGTAATGCTTACATTTGTGTACTTAGAAAGATAAATACGAATTAGTGTTGTTGGCCGAGTCTTGTAGTTTCTCATTGTCTGCAACTCCAAGATTGCTTTGACAAGCAAAGTCATATATATGATGTAATATTTCTGTTCAAACAGGCTTAGCTGGTGGGTTAGCATATACAAATAATCTATTGCCAGCTGCACCTGCTGGTCTCCTTGGATTGCTACTATTGTTCCAGACTACAAGAGTGAGATTTGTTTTTGACGACGAAGCTCTGGTTAGTTGAGTTACTTGTACTAATAGTTAATTCTTTAAGAGTTTTGAAACAAAGAGACAAACCTGTGCTAATTTGTTATCTAATCTCTTATTCATTACACTTGGTCAATAGTAATGGCACGCTCTCTTAAGAACCCAAGCTTTTTGATGATATGAGTTCTATAAATTATAGGTTTTGCTACATGCTTAATTAAGGTGATTTCACATTAGTAGCATCACTACATGCATTATGTGTGTGCTGGAATAACTATTCTGCAGCCCCGTCGAAATCTTTTGTAAGCAGCGATGCTAAAGGATTAGTGATGGTTATATTTAAAATCTATTTCTGCTGAAGTTGTTTTTTATGAAACTTAAATCAAGTGTGAGAGGTTCGCTGCTGCAGATTTTTGAAGGAATGGAGGAATATCTCTTGCTTTCAAAGCATACTTAATTGGAAATGCACAAAACTTCTTTAAATTTAATTTCTGCAAAACTCAAATGTATATTTCTTTTGTCGACTTGTAGTTAGTGTAAACTTGTATCTTTTATGTATTGTATGGTGTTTTGTTGATTATTCATTCATCTGGCATCTCTAGACTTCATTTTTCTTTACAAGGATGTGATGTTTGTGGTCATATAGGAGGTAAAAGTAGGAGAGCAGCTTCAGGAATCAGGTGAAAATGTCTTTGTGGGCGGAAAAAACCGTTGGAAGTAAGTCTCTCTATGCTTTCATTCAAACTGAAGGATTAAAGAAGCCAACTCACCTGCCATTTTACTACAGATATTCGGCATTTGTGAATTGGGAACTGTGGTGGCCAAATTTCCCTATTTTGGTGTATTTTAAAGAGACTCAGACGAAACCTGAAGGACAAGTGCACTTCTTTCCAGTAATTTTCGTAAGTACATAGAAAATAAACATAAGAGGTCCAATGGCATCTAGTTGCAATGCTCGTAGCAGCTTATTAGGTTGCAGTTTTGAAAATTGATGATCAATACCGTTTTCTTTTGTAAATAGAATGGCAAGCAACTCTACGACGTTATGGTGGAGAGAGCTGGTCCTTCAAAAACTAGCGGACCAAAAGAATCATAAGGCTGGAGCTTCATGGTTATAACCATCCAGCAGTCAGTACATGACCAAATGGGCTTCTTTGAAAAAGGAATCAATCGTGATTTTGAATCTGTTCTTTCCATGACTCCTTTTAATTAGTTGAGAAAAGAGATCAAAGTCGCTTCATTGCTGACCGATTAAGTATTGAGAATCTTATCATTAGTAGGAAGCGCCATTCATTCTTATTCACATATCAAGAGACGGTAAGATTGCCAATAATTTGATTAGAGGCAAAAAAGGTTTTTAACTGGATGGCTCTTCAAATCGATCTTATATATGATTTGATTTGACCTAAGCGTCACAAAATGTTATGAATTGCTGTGCTTAACTGTCAATTAGGGTTGGCTAGTAGGGATTACTTAGCCGTCATTAGTCTTGATGATGTGGCAGGCAGTTGAATGAATAAGTAGTTACTGTAATTAATAAAACGAGGTGGCATGTTAGCTAGGTCGGCTTGTTGGTTTGTATTCTGCGTGTTAAATGATAGAGATTGACGTAGATGGAGACCCAAAGTACAAGATGCTATAAGTATATAGATCCAATACAATGGTTTCATTAGTCGGTCAGTGAATGAAGATCAAGGAGGTAGCGTTCCTTGTGAGGGCTTAGAGGTAGAAACCTTAGAAAATCTATAAAATATTAAGCTAAATGTATAGATTCGTTATGTTTTTTTCTTATAATATTTAATTATCAATATTATAAATAGAAATAACATCAATTATATTTATAGCTACTACTTGATAAACTCTAATAAAAACTTTTTATGGAGTCGTGGAGTAAGCATTTTTACTGAAGTACTTAAAATCTTTGTGTTGTGTAATTGTGTTTATTTTTCTATTATATTCTTTTGTTTGATTCGTTTCCTAACACAAAAGAATGAAATTTGCAAATTATTCAGTTGTAAACATATAAGAAATCAAATACACTTTCTCTTCTCAAACTCTTAACATAAAATCGCCAATAAATTATAATCTTAGTATTAGTGTTTTTCTTATATTTAAGAGTAGAACGACAAACCTCTTTCTCACGAAACTAGTTAAATCTTTAACACATGCATTAATTACGTCTTACATGAAACTAATAAGACGTAGCCTCTTTCACGAGACTAGTTAGTCTAATTAATTAATTATAGATTTTTCTCCTTGCAAATTAGACTAATTAGATGTAAATACACCACCTCTCTGAAAATCCAATGACAACTTTGAGGCACGAAGCAATCAAATCCTCACCACATAAATCAATACTTCAGGACCAAATCTAAACTTAATTTATGGGATAATTATACCATAAATACATCAAATTTTAATTTTTTCTCAATCGAGTACATAATATTTTTTATTTGAATATATTAATTTTTTTAAAATGACCAATCAAGTAATTCTGTCAATTTTTTATATTAATTGATGATGTGTATGTCACACTTAAAATACTAAATTAATTTTTTTTTTGGTTTTTTTAATATTTTTATCATATATTAAAGATATGATTAATCTTGTTTACGGCAGAAGTCATAAGGTTTAACCCCTCTAAACTCATTCTTAGGATAGAAATAGATATAATTTAATATCTTATAGCTTCCTTCAATAATGTAAATTCAAATTATTGTAACTGAATTATTAATTATTATATAATGCAATAAGAGAGAATTATCTTTAATATAGCTCAAGATCAAATTGACCTTTTCAGATAAAAAAAAAAAAAAACTTATTCTAGGAATCTTTTATACATATACATATGAGCATGAAACATTTATTTTAATTCATTTGGAAGATAGTTGCAGGCCAGGGAATACATATATCTTTGTTGATTTCTTTACAGCCTTTTTTGCTCACTATAAAACTGACACTTAGAAAAAATCAAATTAATATGATAATACAGAATCTTTCTTTGTTTGAATTGCGGGTTAATTATTCTTAATTAGATATTATAAGAATCATCGAACACAAACAGATCAATATGAACGCATTTTTATATTCAGTTCAAAACAAGACAAAGGTTGGATATTGCTAAATCATGGCTTCTTTAGAACGGAATCTTGGAGATAAAAATTGATTAAATAGATCAATTTTTTGTGAACATAAAATATCAGAAAATTGATTTCTCAAATAAAAAAAAAAAAAATTAAAACTGATGTTCTGCAATTTTGTCTATTTGAAATCAATTTTTTTTTTCAAATTTTATAAGATTCGGTCGATTAATTAACGGATTATTGCATGTGAAATTCATGTGACTTGTGCACCAATTGACTTAAACCCTTGATTTAATGATTTATTTTTTTAACCCTTAAATAAATTTTATTTTTAAGCAAAAAAAAAAGAATATATATATATATATATTAAAAAGTGATTAAAAAAAATCCATAAATCAGAACATTTCGTCTTGTATAGGATCGCATCCCAAGATCAAAATAAATACTCCTACGGCTTATGGTAGTGTAACAACAGCTATCTCACTTTAGTCCAAAACTAGCTAGTGGCCGTCGGCAAAACATTTTGTTAGCTTCTTTAGATTCTTCCTCTCTCTGTGTTAACTCTTTCACTGATTTTTTATTTTGAAGATCATTGAAATGGAAGTGACCAACAGGTATATCACAATTAAGAATCACATACAGGGTTCAGCGGATGAGTCTGATTTCGAGCTCAAGGTTTCCCCTCTTAGATTATCACTGGAGCCTGGTTCCAATGACATTATTGTGAAAAATCTGTGGTTATCAATTGATCCTTACCAGCTTAACCGCATGAAGAGTTACAGCTCCTCACAGAAAACAGTAGATGTTGCAGCTGGTATCACTCCTGGTCAGGTATAGTTTCAGATTTGAAATATTCTTGTTGGAGATTAGTCAGATGATATAATTATTTCTTTCTCTTGGCTAGCCTATTGATGCTCCTGGAGTAGCAAAGGTTTTGGTTTCTGAAAATCCTGGATTTGTGAAAGATGACTTGGTTGTGGGGTTTGTCCACTGGGGAGAATACAGTGTGGTAAAAGGAGAAATGTTAAGGAAGTTGGACCCAAAAATTGAACTCCCATTATCTTATCATGCTGGAATTCTAGGTAAATCAATCACCTCTCTTCATTTTCAGTCAAAATAAGAAATCACCAACATAGCCCATCATCGTAAAGAGCATTTGTTTGATAGTTCTTGATCTTTAATGTTACAGGATTCAATGGAATAACAGCCTATGCTGGACTTTTTGAAATCTGCAAGCCTAAGAAGGGAGAGAGAGTGTTTGTATCAGCTGCTTGTGGGGCGGTTGGGAATTTGTTGGGTCAGTATGCAAAAATATCAGGCTGCTATGTGGTAGGAAGTGCTGGAAGCAAAGAAAAGGTCAGTAATTTTCTAGTTAAGTTTTGCATTTGAATCTGAAAATGTTTTGTGTTGAGATTAAAATCTTATGTTGGTTTCATTTGTATAGGTAGCATTGCTGAAGGAGAAGCTTGGTTTTGATGATGCATTCAACTATAAGGAAGAAACTGATTTGAGTTCAGCTCTCACGAGGTTAGAAACATCAAAATTAATGATTTAAGAGTAAATAGGTAAATCTGTACTTACATAATAGTTCGATTTTTCAATCTGATCCTTTGTTTTTAATTATATATACTATATCTCTTAATAATATTTAAGTCTTTAATCTGTCTTTGATTGATCGTGAGCAAATTTTTTAATCGAAATACTTCTGATTGAAATGTTCATATATTAAGTATATATGTGTGCTACACACACATATTTATGAATCCCTAAATCCAAGCAATATAAATTATACGTATATACATGGATTATAATTTTGTTGGTTTAATTTTTTCTGTTGGTTTTTTGATTCCACAACGCCACAGGTATTTTCCTGATGGGATTGATGTATATTTTGACAATGTTGGAGGTCAGATGCTAGAAGCTGCAGTTGCTAATATGAACCCCTTTGGTAGAGTAGCTGCATGTGGTACAATTGCTGAGTATACAGATGCTGGAAAAAGAGCAGCACCAAACATGGTAGACGTTATATACAAGAGAATTAAAATCCAAGGATTTTTAGCCGTGGATCACATGAACTTGCATTCAGATTTTCTATCAACAACTATTGATTACATTCATAATGGCAAGATTAAGGTGCAAGAGGATATCTCCAATGGTGTGGACAGCATCCCTTCAGCTTTTGTTGGACTATTTCGTGGCCATAATGTTGGAAAGAAACTTGTTAAAATTGCAGATGATTGATCAGAAGGGTGTATGATCAATGATATTTTGCCTCTTGCTGTAAGAGTTCGAAAACTTGGTTTCTCAGGGACAATAATGCTAATATAGGACAAATTAATATGTCTACGTCGACAGATCTGTCAACGTGCCGATCAGCAAATCTATATTTTAAATGTTATTTTGATATATATATATATATATATATTACCGTAGCAATTAATATGACAATGAATTGACATGCAGAAATATATATAGGGTAAATACTCAATTTATACTCATATAATAGTTCGAGTTTCTAATCTGTATTTACATTTTTAATTACATTATTATGTTTTTAAATAATGTTTAAGTCTTCAATCTGTTTTTTTGATTTTTTTTTTTTTTTTACTTAAGCAAATTTTTTTATTAAAATACTCTTGACTGAAATGAATTTTTTTTTTTTTAAAAGGAAGTCATATGACTTTAACAACTAATGATGTGCTATTTTTTATGTTTCAATAGACTTCCCAAAGCTTTAAAAAAGTCTTAATTAAATAGGTATTTCTCAATCATATTAATTATCTCATTTTTTTTTAATCATGATTATATTTTCTTTTTTGATCTCATATTTCTCAAATTTATAAACTTTTAACATATAACAAAATATTAGTAAATTACACAAGCTCAAACTATAAATCTTGCATCTTTTAATAAAAGCATAATAATTCAATATCAAGTTAACATAGCTTCTTGATAAAAGAAAAAAAAATTAATGTAGCTTGGTATCATCTATTTATACTCTCTTTCCAAAATAAAAAAAATGTATAAAATGTAAAATTTAATAAATAAGATTAATAATACTAATACACTCTATATATTATTATCTCAATCATATTGAAATTTTCATATTAATCCTCCAAATCATATTAAAATATATAAACTCAAATTTGTAACTAATGATGTGACATTTCATAATTAAAATAATGCTACTTTGTATGCATATTTTTTTTAAAAAAAATTTGTTGAGATAAATTTTATGAATTTTAATATAATTGAAGGATATGTGTGAGCGTGTGTGTGCATATATATATATATATGATTGAATATTTTTTAATACTTTAGAAAATAAATTGAAATATAAAAAAAATGTCTCATTTCATAATTAAAATAATTTCTACATTTCATGATGGAAAGGAATGATTGAATTTTTTATGAAATTTCAAGGGGTAATTGATCAAACGAAATCTCAGGTGTGAAATTGAGAAATCTTTCAAACTTTAAGGAGACAAATTAATTACGTATAGCTAGAAAGGCATTGATCAAGTGGCTAGCGACTCCAAACTTAGGAGTTGGATTGTTAAGTTTAAATTAATTATTGATGATCCCTAAAATTAAATAAACTCAAATAGTAAAATAAAAGCTAAAAAAGCTTATGGTACCAATATATATATATATATATGGAATTTGGCCCTCCATCTTAGACAACCTAAGCTTTTTAACCCGCGATTCTTTTTAGGCTATTTGATCCCCACCTGGATTTTTTCTTATTTTAGTCCGTTATACTTTTTTTTTTAATTATCAACCTCTATTGAGGTTCCATCCATTAACAAAATGGAATTTCATACATCATCCAATAAGAAATCAGCTGCCATGTGGTAGGAACAGCTGGAAGCAATAACAAGGTCAGTCTGCTGGGGACACACTATTTTGTGTTCAATCTGGCAACAAGTTTTTTATTTTATTTTTTTGTCTTTTTCTCTTTGTGGGATGGATGGAGGGATGCATTTGAATGAAGTGGGGACGCCTACTTATGGACCTGTCGTAGCTTGCACGTGCAGGCTGTCATCTAGCCTGCACGTGCAAGCTATGATTCCAAATTTCTTTTTATTTCAACATAGATAAAAAGAAAAAAAAATTATTCTAATACTCTTTTATATATACATATGTATGTATGTTTGTTGATTTCTTTATAGGTATTTTGCTCACTATAAAAATGATAATTAGAAAAAAAAATCAAATTAATATGATAATACAGAATCTTTCTTTGTTTGAATTGCATGTTAATTACTCTTATTTAGATATAGGAATCATCCAACACAAACAGATCAATTTGAACTCTTTTTTATATTCAGATAAAAACAAGACAAAGGTTGGACATCACTCAATCATCGCTTCTTTAGAACGGAATCTTGGAGAGAAAAATTGGTCAAATGGATCAAACCATTTGTAAATTTAATTAAAGTTATTTCTCAACTAAAAAGTTAAAATTAAGTTATTATATTTTTCATCTATTTAGAATTGGATTATTTTATCAAATTTTGTAAGATTTCTATTAATTAACGATTTTTGCATGTGAAAGTAATGTGACTTGTATACAAATTGATTTAATGACTAAGTTTTTAACCCTTAAATAAAATTTATTTTCAAGCAGAAAAAAGAATTAAAAATAAATAGTTTAAAAAGAGATAAAAAATAATCCATAAATCAGAACATTTCTTCTTGTATCGGGCTACAATATCCCAAGATCAAAATAAATACTCCTACCGCTTATGATAGGAAAACAACAGCTATCTCACTTTAGGCCAGAGCTAGCTAGTGGCAGGCGGCAAAAATTTTGTTAGCTTCTTTAGATTCTTTAGCTCTCTGTATTAACTCTGTCACTGATTTTTTATTTTTAAGATCAATGAAATGGAAGTGACCAACAGGTATATCACAATAAAGAATCACATACAGGGTTCAGCAAATGAGTCTGATTTTGAGCTCAAGGTTGCATCACTTGGACTACCAGTGGAGCATGGTTCTGATGAGATTATTCTGAAAAATCTATTTGCATCCATAGATCCTTCCCAGATTAACCGCATGAAGAGTTACAGCTCCTCACAGGAATCAGTAAAATCTGCAGGTGGCATCACTCCTGGTCAGGTATATCATCACTTGATTACTACCGTACAAATTGATGCTTCAAAACAGTCTTTTCTGCCTTCTTTCTAGTACCAACCAAGCCTAACTTTCGTTAGATAAGGCTTCAACCCCATAAAAAAAGGGTTGTCTTATACAAGTCCCCCAGATCTTCACCAATTCTCTACTAGAGATTTGTGTTAGTTTTTAGACACAGAATGACTCAAATGAGAATTTTTGATGGATTAGGAGATGGCTGCTTAAGTACTAGACCCAACAACAGTTGAATTCCCATTATCTTATCATCTGGGAGTTATAGGTTATTTTCTGTCTTCAATCTCTAATGGATTTTTTCGTACTTTATTCTAATCAGAAGATTTTAATCCCATCAGCATTGTACCGATGTTTTTTCGACACGTAGAATCTCTCTCTTCCAACATTTTTGATATGTTCACTCTTGTGATATTGCAGGATTTAGTGGACTAACAGCATATGTTGGACTTTTTCGAAATATGTAAGTCGAAGAAGGGACAGAAAGTGTTTGTATCTGCTGCTTGTGGATCGGTTGGAAATTTGGTGGGTCAATACGCAAAAATATCAGGCTGCTATGCGGTAGGAAGTGCTGGAAGCAACGATAAGGTCAGTTTCTGGGTACTGTGGGTCATTTGAATCTGACGATTCATGTTTGGGTTAAAAAAAAAATCTCATTTTAGCTTTACTAATGACAGGTAGCATTGCTCAAGGAGAAGCTTGGTTTTGATGATGCATTCAATTACAAAGAAGAAACCGATCGATTTGAAGTCCACACTCGAAAGGTCAGCAAGATTGAAAGTAAAACGTTAAGCTTATAATGTAAACTGAAGAAAAAAGGAAAAGGAAAGGATTGAGGCTATCAAATTCACAAAATGAGAGAACTGCAACAAATAGCAATCGAAAGAAAGTTAAAATTGCCCACTTGCCACTTCACATTTTAAACTGGATAGTTTAAAAGTCAACGTGGTGAAGATGTGTCTTGATGTACGTAGCTTCTAACGAAAAAGACAATAAAATTTGTTAAAATTTTCAAAAAACAAATACAACAAAGACAAAAGAGAAAATTCACAAAATTCCAAATTTGATAAATGGTCAAGGGCTTATAAACCTTAATAAATGTTCCCTTCTAGTTAGTTAAGAGCTAAATTGAAAATAAAACAAACGCAAAATCTGAAGTATTCTAATATAAATGGAAAAAAACAAAATAAAAACTAAAAATCACAAGACGTGCAATTTTTTTGGCATGATTTATGGATCAAATCAATAAAAAGACTTTGAAATGAGCTTTTGGACTGCATTTAATTTGACCTAAAAAATATCATCAACAATTTTGTTGCCAACATCACACCGTGGAGTTTTGAATCAGGTTTTGTCAATACACTTACGAGTCCCAAAATCAAAAGTTATGGTCTGCTAAAACTACGATATTCGTTTGCCTTTTCAACTCATCTTCCTAGACCGATGTCTATTAATTCGATTCGTATATTCTTCTACTATATATCTCACGTCATTGCATATATATATGCAAGACTACGGAGAGGCTTGCAGATTTCTTACCATGTATATAATCCAATAGCTCAAACTTTTGAGTTGAATGAGAAGTGAATTCATATTAATTTATAAATTCTTACATATGTTATAAAATGGATCAATATTTTCCCTCATGTGCTTGCTTTTTTATTCCACAAGCTTCACAGGTACTTTCCTGATGGAATCGATGTATATTTTGACAACGTTGGGGGTGAAATGCTAGAAGCAGCAATTCCTAACATGAACAGCTTCGGTAGAGTAGCAGCATCTGGGGCAATTGCTGAGTATACAGATGCTGGAAAACGAGCAGCACTGAATATGATAGAGATAATATACAAGAGGATCAAAATACATGGATTTATAGCCCCTGATCACTTGAACATGTATTCAGATTTTCTAGCTGCAACAACAGATTATATTCGTAGTGGCAAGATTAAGGTGTTGGAGGACATATCTATTGGTGTGGAGAGCATCCCTTCTGCTTTCACTGGACTTTTTTGCGGTGATAATGTTGGGAAGAAGATTGTTAAAATTGCAGATGAGTGAATAAGAAGAGATGTAAAGCCTGTCTTTGTTTCATGATCAATAAATTGCAATCACCATTTAGTTAATACTAGTTGGATACTCACACTACGCTGCGGGTAGAAACCGTTATATGCATAGAGTTAACGATTCATATGGTGTAATGTAAATAGAAAGTTTTATTTTTGATGATTAATATAAATTGAATCTATATATAATTAATTTCTAACGAAATTAATGTCACACACACACACTCACACACACACACACACACACACACATATATATATAACAAATTCAGAGCATATAGAATAAATAGAAAAAAATAAACTAAATTATAGAAACATATTGAAGTCAATAGATTAAAATAAAAACTACAACAAAATTGATTCGATAAATTCTGAATAAATATATATAAAAAAAGCAAATAAAACTTATGAATTTTTTGAACTCATTATTATTTTTTTAAAACAAAAATTTGAGCCAAATCATCTAAAACATACTTTTAACTCTCTCTCTCTCTCTCTCTCTATATATATATATATGTGTGTGTGTGTGTGTGTGTAACACTCATTTAAAAATATAAAAATAATTTATTTTATAAATTATAATAATATATTTTTTAAAAAGTAAAAAATTAACGTTCTAAAATTTTATTCTAAAATTCATCTATTAAAAAAACCAATTTTTTTAACAAATAAAATTAAATCAAAAAATTAATTTAATGAGAAATTTAATAAGAAACAAATAATTGAAGAAAAAAATTTTAAACAATAAGAATAAAATAATCGGATATGTATGTTAACATCAACATCAAAGATATAATTAATATTGGTTTAGGGACATTAAAAGGATCAATAATATATATGTTTTTTTTCTCGATAAAGGGACCAATTATATATGATCGCTTAACTCTGTACATCACTTGTTGGAGATTCAGTTATGCTATGACAATATATATATATATTCTTTTAAGGGTTTCCTTTCGCCTCTTGGTGATCCAATCCTAAAACACATCAAGATTTAAAATAATTAGCCAATTTTTTTTTGTTCTATCATGAGATTGGTGGCTAGACTTTTAAAAATATAAAATAAATTATAGGAAGAAAAAAAAAGCAAGGTCGCACTCGGTTAGTATTTATATTAATTTTTTAAAAACAATCGAGTCAAATTAATTTCTTAATTGATTATTATTTTTAAAAAAATTAAGTAAAATTATCTAAAATACATTTTGAGCCTCTCTCTCATCGGAATTTATATATGCAATTACACTACTCTCATTTAAAAATCATAAAACAAATCAATCATATAAATTATAATAATATGTTTTAAAAAATAAAAAAATCAAGTTCTAAAATTTTATTTCAAAATCCATATATAAAAAATCAAATTTATTAACAAATAATATTATATAAAATTAAAAAATTAATTTGATGAGAATTTTAATAAGAAAAAAATAATTAAAGAAATAAATTTTAAACAATAAAAATAATATAATTCGATATATATGTTTAAACTAAAATTGTTAAAAATATTATATATATTCTATTACTATAAAACCGTACGCAAAACTAAAAGAAATAAAGATCCTTTTTATATTTTCATATCGAATTTCATAATAAAAAATATAAAAATAAATTATTAGAAGCAAAAAAAAAAAAAAAAAAAAAGAAAAGAAAAAAAGGTAAACGTTGGTTAGGACTACTTGTGTAGGCTCGCTTGAGCTCGCTTCTCAAGGCGCCCTATAAAAAAAAAATGCTTCTCCAGGCCAATCTTTAAAAAAAAAAAAAAAAAAAACTACGAGTAAAATGAGCGAGGCTAGCTACTAGAGCCCGCTTCTCCAACTAGTACTAAAAATAAATAAATAAATAAATAAAACGCTACGAGTAAATAAACAGAAAAAACCTTAATTCTTTTAGTTTTGTTTTTAGAATAATTATAATGTTTGAAATACACTTCTAGCTCTCTTTCTCATCATAATTTATACATGCAACAATGTCATTTTCATTGAAAAATCATAAAAATAATCAATCATATAAATTATAATCATATGTTTAAAAAAAATAAAATAATCGAGTTCTAAAATTTTATTTCCAAAGCCATGTATAAAAAATCAAATTTATTAAAAAATAAAATCATGTAAAATTTAAAAATTAATTCGATGAGAATTTTAATAAGAAACAAACAATTGAAGAAATAAATTTTAAATAATAAAAATAATATAATCAAATATATATGTTCAAGCTAAAATTTTTTAAAAATATAATATATATTCTATTACTGTCAAACTATACATAAAAAAAATAACGATCTTTTTTTATATTTTTACACCTACTTTTATGATAAAATATATATAAAAAAGATTATTTATATAGAAGGGGAACAACTCGTCATCCGATATTTAAATAAATCATTTATTAATAAATATTATATTATTATACCAATATGTTTAAAATAATATTTAACCAATACAATGTAATATTAATTTAATTATATGGTATAATTATCAAATATATTATATTATTAAAATAATTATCAATTTTTATATATATATTCAAATTCCTAAAATAATATATCAATATATTATTTATATCATAATATATAATAATAAAAAAGTATTATATTGTATAATAAATACAATATTCACAATCAAAATACAAATAACTATTCTATAATAATTATTTGATATTTATTTGTAAAATATAATGATAATAAATTATAATTATTAATTATAAATAATTTTTATTATTTTTAAAATATATATTTCTAATAAATAAGGACCTAAATAATATATTTGACCATATAATAATAGTCCTACAAATATAGAAACTGAAAAAAAAAATGAGGCCGAGACGTTAAAAAAAAAAAACAAAACAAAAAAGCACTACATAAATACAATATTCATAATCAAAATACAAATAACTATTTTATAATATTTATTTGTTTTTTTTTTTTGGTAAAAATATAATGATAATGTATTATAATTATTAACTATAAATAATTTTATTATTTAAAAAAATATATTTCTAATAAATAAGGACCTAAATAATATATTTGACCATATAATAATAGTTTTACAAATATAGAAACTAAAACAAAAAGCGAGGCTAGACGTTAAAAAAAAAAAAACACTATTATCATATTTTTTTTGTAAAATATAATGATAATTTATTATAATTATGAACTATAATAATAGTCCTACAAATACTTTAATAGTTGGGAGAGAGGATAAATTAATCAACAAATTTATTACCTCCAAGGCAATGAAGGTTGTAGAGTCTATTAATTGAAAAATGGAGAACGATGTATGAGTGAAGAAGTTAATATATATCATTGGATCCGGAAGAATGGACGGTGTTAAAAAAAGGGGGATGGAACAGCTACAATTAATGAAAATGGCCAAAAGAACAAAAAAATTTAGTTTTCAAACCAAAGGGACTAATTAATTTATTCCCCAAAGAATTATTTTTTCTTGTTTTTTTCTATTTCTTAAAAGAAAAAATAAAAATAGTAAAATGGTGAAAATGACTAAAAAAATTAGTTTTCAAACCAAATGGACTAATTAATTTATCTCTCAATAAAATAAGGGACCAACATGCAAAAAACAATACATGAATAGGGATTTTGAGTGTATAGCTATAATAAATGAATAGTTATAGTCTCACTTCTTTTATTTTATTTTATAATTATTAATAATTAAAAAAAAACTAAACCAAAACACAAGTTTAATTACCGTTAATTTTACTTGTTCCAAATACTATTAATCTAGATTCATATGTAATATTTAACTAGATGAACTATTACTTTCACTATGGTTGCATTTTTGTAGTTTTCAAATATTTTTAAGACATTTATTATAAAAATTTTTCTTGCATTACACTTTGGTCCTTCTTTTTTTAAATATTATTTTTAATCTATAATATTTTTTTATTTGATTTTGATCTCATTTTTTTGTTTCATTTCGGTCACTTTGATCCTTTCTTTTCTCCCTTTTTTTAATTAAAAATTTTAAGGCAAAAAGGATGTTTAGAAAAAAATAATTTACAAAATAAGTTTTTAGCTAAAAATGTGGATAGAGATAAATAAATGAATTTTTTAAATAAATTATTTATGAAAATATAAAGAATAATTAGTCAAATACAAAATTTTTATAAAAAAAATGATGAAATTGAATGAATTTTTATTCAATTTAAATACGATATATTTTGATAGACGCAAAATATATTATAGAATATCAAAATAAAATAATTTTTTAAAAATAATTTATGTATTTTTGTCCGACCCACTATATAACACGGGTAAAAAACTTAGTAAATAATCTAAAAATACATTTGATTTTACTGCAGTTAAACTTTACTACAGTGAATCAAAACGGCGACGGTTTTACCGTAAATGGAGGTCTCTTTATCCCAATTATTTTTGTTGGGTACGTACTGCATCCTAAACCATGGCATCAGTGTATATAAAGATTTTTTACAATTTATTTGATTTGGACTTTACAAATACGATGGATTACCATACTCCTAACTTTGAAAGTAACCAAATCTAAGTTTATTACCTATCTTCTAATCCAGTTTCAATGAATCAGAACTTTGTTTCATTTATATACATTTTTTCATTTATTATGTTTCAATGATTAAAGAATCGATTTTCATTCAAGTCAGTCAAAAGAATCCTTACAAGCAAACCCCATTTCTTTTTGACAATCTTTTGAAGTAGATGAAGGTAACCGCGGCTCATCGATTAGACAACGTAAGCTTTTTAACCCGGGATTCCTTTTAGGCTATTTGGTCCCCACTTTAAAATTGTTTTTATTTTAGTCCACTATACTATTTCTTTTTTCGATTATCATCCCTCTATGAAGGTTTCATCTATTTAAGGACCATCTCACCTAATAGCTTAAGCTGATAGGTTTAGGTAAAGCCCTAGAATATAATTTATATTAATCTCTAACACACCCCTTCAAGTAAAAAGCCCAACATTTGGGGCATGAAACTTGCATGCATTTACATTGTTTTGTGTTTTATACTTAAGAAATTGAGGATGGTGAGACTTGAGTTCAGGACCTTAAGATTAACCAAACTCTGATACCATATTAAAGGATAAGTTATTTAGATGCTAGATCACGACATAACAGTTTAGATGGAGCCTTGACGGAGGTGTGACTGTCCAAATAAAAAAGTATAGGGACCAAAATTAGAAGTTTAAAATATTACGGATAAGTTCTTGTTGACCAAAAGTATCAACCTTTTTTCTTTCTTTGATTCATTATGTATAAATATGCATTGAAATGGTGGGTTCTTATGGTTTTGGTGCCAAACGTTGCCAAAGAAATGACTCTAGGCATCATTTAATGGGAAGCAGCCAAAGAGGGGGAAATGAAAGTTAAAATTGGAAGTTAAGAAGGCAAGGAAAAGGGGGATGTTCCTTGACACTTCGTGGACTATATATGGTGACAGGAAGATGAGACGTCTGGCACGGTCATCAAGAAACGTGTTATGGATTTCGGTGCCATTTTTGCCGCGTGTGCATTCCTTCTCCTCTTCCTCGTCCTTCTACTGGGTTATGTATTATATAAGTGATGCCCTGTTTAACTCCTCTTGCTTCTTTTGGGGCTCTGATAGTGAGAGGTAAGCACAAAAGACTCGTATGGATTGGCGGCATAAGATGAGAAAAGCTTGGTTTGCTGTCTCTTCGAGAGTCAAGTTTCGTAAATCTGGTTAGTTTTTGCATCTTATCATGGTTTATTTCGTTTTACCGCAACACAGTCAGCTCAATGTGGATGGAAATGCGCTTGCTTGAACCCATGATTATAGCCCAGTTGGAGTATAGTCTTAAATAAGAATCGTTATGTAACGGTTTCGTAGCATCTTATTATCGTTATTTTAATCCACGATTTAAATCCATGAGTTGGAGAACTAATGTTGGTGTCTTTTTTTTTAATGATTAAGCAGGTTCAGGAGGGGGCAGGGGAGATGCAGCTCGTAGGAGTGCTAGTGGATTGTTGAAGCTACAAGATGATGTACAAATGTGTGGGTATAGAGATGTGGAAGTGATGTGGAAAATGTTTATCGAATCCAATCCAGAGCAAATGGCCGCATCAGTAATGACTTCAACTTCAAAAACCCCCACCACCAGCAAGCAAAGCCAAATGCCTTCTTCTTTGAGGTCTTAGTAGCTGCCCCAAAAGTCCTAATTACTACAGAACAGAAAAATACAGAAACAATTGAGGGGTAGGGTACATGTATTTAGTTATATGCTTCATTGGCAACATGGAAATGGGATATGAGCTTTTTGTAACATTTTGTGCTCATAGGAATACAGTTTACCAAAGTTTACTACAACCTCATAATCCCATCATTCTTTCATTTCTTTGATTACATATTTTCAGGCTTACTGGAAAGTTCTTGGACCTTGGCTATACATATGTAGAACCAACCATCAATGTTTTCCTCTACAAAAAGGAAAAAGAAAGAAATATATTGCACATCCACTGCTACTGAGAAAGACTGCGGTTGAGTTTTGAACCTAAGTTTTAAAAGAAAGTTGGTAACTTTGGAAAACGGATTGCTTTGGGATTGAACCCATTTGATTACGCATAATAAGGTTAATTATTACTGATATTGAGGTTGGCATGTCCTGCTGATATTCATGGAAGGTTGCAACTCTTGGATCTTGGTGGGTTAACTTGTGCCCCTTTAAGAAATTTTGTAAACTAAGATTGATATGGGATGCTGACCTCAACTTTCTCCATCTGGATAATCCAGACTGTAAAACCATGGTTTCAGCTCTCGTTACAGTGTTTGTTTTCAATGAATTCCTAAGACTTGGTGCTTACTATGCACTGTATACTAGGTAACTAAATCACAAGGCAATTAAAAGGAACATATTCTGATAGTTTTGACATGATCATCAGTATATTAAAGGAACAAAGTATGATACTTGCATTGGTAGATGCCATTAATAGGACAATCGAAACATCAAGAAAAAGCATGAAAAAATAAGTACTCTTTAAGAACCAAGTTCAAGAAACCTTAGTGCCATGGGATGCTTGGCTTCAGACAATTCATCAGGTTTCAAAACCTCAACAATCTCACCATTCACAAGGAGGTAAACCACATCAGCAATCCTCTGGATTTGTTTGATGCTGTGAGAGACCATAATAACTGTCAGCCCTTGTTGTTTCTTTAATTTGACAAGAACATCCTCTATGTTTTGTGTTGATATTGGATCCAATGCACTTGTTGGCTCATCCAGCAGCAAAACCTTTCAAAACATGGAGTATGATCAGAAAAACAGCATATAGTGACCAACTATGCAGATAGCAAGTCCATGACAAAAATTCGGAAGCATGAAAACACAATCGAAAGGAATTCATTCAAATTGCCGAAATTTTTATATATTTCAATAGGCCTTACCTCTGGTTGATTAGCTAGGGTCCTAGCAAGTGCAACCCTTTGAGCTTGACCAACAGATAACTGGCTGCTATCCTTTTCGTAGAAGGAAGAATCAAGGTCTGCAAGGGAGAGCAACTTCTGAACCTCATCATCGGTAAGCTTCTTCCCCTTTAACTGTGGCCCGTATTGTATATTATCTGCAACTGTGCCTGAAGAGATTAAAACAATTGTCAGTTAACCATAAATCATATAAAATTCTCAAGACAATAGGCAAATATCCATCTAGTAAACTGAAGACAATGCTGCTAATACTGTCTTCTGCTACTTCTCCAACTAGAATTTCAAGTGGGAAGCTGCTGCATCCTGAAGGAAGGATCAGCATAACATCTAGAAACATGTTAGTGAAGAAACTGCATCAGGAATCAGATCGTACTAGAGGAAGGCAAGCATTGGTCGTTAAACGCATCACGGTGAAGTACTTAACCGGTATGTTTAAGGACTAATCAGGGTCTATTCCAAGGAAAATGCCAATTCAACCCGCAACAATTAGGCATTCTGCCATCTTAATATTACAGGACTGAGATAAGCGTACAAGAACACAAAAAATTAGGCTATTTCAAATTTCAGATGACAACAATCAGTGTCTTGCCCGCCGATCAATATTGACGGCAAGCTACCTGATCTGTAAAAGACTTCCTATGGATTCTATTGTTGTAAAGGCCTAAAACTTCCTAAGCTACTAATCTATACAGAGCACTGTGCTAATTATAAACTCAATCACCCTTACCAACAATCAAATTAGGTAGCCCTACTATTAAATCATTGATCTACAACAATTATTCATAACACTTGCTGAGCTAAAAAGTCAAAAAGCAAATATTAACAAAGCATATTCGCACAGTTTTTGATTAATAAACCATTGGGCAAAAACACAATTGAAACCCTGATAACAGAAAGAAATGAAAAAAAATCAATCTAACCTTCAAAAAGAGCAGGAAGCTGAAACAGCATCCCAACTTTCCTGCGATGGCCAAGAACCTCAAGATCCGTAACATCACAACCATCAAGAAACACAGTCCCAGAAGGTGGTTCCCACAGTCTGTTGAGTGCCCTTAAAACCGTTGACTTTCCACTCCCACTAGGGCCTATAATCCCCACAATCATCCCTCTAGGTATGTCCATATTGATCCCATTCAATATGGGCACCCCAACGTCAGAAACCTTCGTCAAATTTCGTATCCTAAACTTGGTTTCTGCTCCATCTTTTGCTGCTTCTACGTTAACAGCCAATAGTGGTTCTTGATTCTCATTACCTGGAAACAAAGACGGTAAAAACTGTAAATGGTTTAAATATCAAGACAAGAAACATAGGACAGTAAGTCATGAAATGATGAGATTGCTGTTGCTACTAGTTACTTAAAAGTGTGTTTGTACCTGGAGAGATGTCTGCAACTTGGAGAACTGAAGTTGGAGACATTATTGTACTTTGTGTTGGACTAGGAACTGGTGGTGTTGGTCATTCTGACTTTTATGGAAGGACAGCAGAAGAAGCCTGCCCCAGTTTTTTTTTTGGAAAGATGGACCAGGCCTGTGATTCCCAAATACAACCTTTCCATGGAAGAAAGAATCCACTGATTTTTTGGTACAGAAAATATCAATCACCCACCAATGGGATCCGTCTAGGCTTACAAAAACGTGGTTATAGCAACTCTGCTGTCACGTGTCAAGAGAGGACTTTTTTCCATTAGCGGTGGATTGTCAAGTCATCATTAGGAGTTGAGAAGTACGTCCATCTCGAGTAAATTATAAATTATTCTTTTTATTTTCGAAAAAACGAAGTAATTAACTTTTAAAAATTATTTTTTCTGTTTTAAAAAGATTTTCTTATATATATATATATATATACATACTTGTCTAGTTAAAGTTTTAAATAATATATTTTTTAAAAATATCCCTAATTAATAAAAAAATCAATTTTTTTCCTTTTATTTCAGGTTTCTTTATTAACAAAAAATCAATATTATTTATATTTTATCATTATATGTACAAATATTTTTAAAATAAAAATTTCAGATTTTTTTTTTGTTATAGGAAAAATATTTATTTTTTTATAAAAACTTTACTATCTACATGTTAAAATTTTGAAAGTAAAATATTTCTATTAATATGTTAGTTTTTCATAATTTTTTAAATTTGATTGTTAATTAAATTAATAATTTTTTATTTATCATCTTAATTTTTGATTGATTTTTTTAATTTAATATTGATTCCATTTAATATAAAATTAAATTTGATAACTAACAACTTTAATAAAAATAATATTTTAGAAAAGTATGAAAAAAATTGACGATATATCCTAACAATAAATAATTTCATTAAACCTTGTAAAAGTCAAAGAAGATTATCTCTTTGAGACATAAGAAGTAATTATTTAATCTTTTAATCAGTATTATTCATGTTTAATTTAATACTATTATTTTATAAAATGTCATTTTTTTGTCGTTAATCCTTCTGTATTTTTTACTTTTTCATTTTTTTATTTTTTAAAACCAAAAATCGAAATAAATTGAAAATGAGCTAAAAGGATTCAGTTACTAAAAAGTCTAAAGATATTGCTAGGGACTAAATAACTATTTAAAAAAAAATTAATTATTTTTTTTTCAAAACTAGAAAGAATAATTTATAATTTACTCACCGATTAGGAGACAAAACTAAAAAAATCTAACAATACTAAAAAAAAAATTCAATTTGGATATCCAAAGTTTAGAAATTCTCAATACCCTTTCTCCAACGATGCCGAAAACCTCAAAAAACCGAAATAGCATTGTTTCAGATACGATGCATCAACAAATCTGGACTGAGGGATACAATTGAGAATAAGGAATACTTTGTTGACTCATCTGATAATTTATTTCTAAAGGGACTCAATTGATATATGGATAACATTGGGAGGTTTGATTTCAAATTTCCCTTTTCTTTTCTTTACTTCTCTTAACAAAATATTTAATTGTTTTCCAATGTAAGAACTAGTCCAGAAGAAGAAACTGTCTTCATGCTTTAGCTCTTATCTAGCTTATGTTACTTACGGATTCGTGAATTAGGAAAGAGAGATCTGAAATTTATGGTTTTTACAACTTGAATTAGTTTTTAATTTCTATTTTTGTCCTCAGGGAATGGACAAAAATTCCAACCATAATTGAGAAGCTATGGCCACCCGTGAGAGCATTCAATAATAATCGAAAATACAGACAAGTTGGACCTCAAATGAATGGATGATTAGCATGCCTAATAGTTCTTTTAAGTTTGCACAACTTCAAATTGAATATGAGGAAAAACAAAAGCCAAATTTGGAAGGAAAAAAAAATTGAAAAAGGAAGGGAATTAAAGACCATAGAAATTAAACTTGATGTTGATTCTGTCTATCTATGGCTTATGAAGTGCTCTTCCAGCAAGCAAAGCAGCTTCCATGACCACAGAAATAACTTCAATAACTTCATCAGCTTGGCATTTGTTTCCTTTGAATGTATGTTCACCTAAAGCTTTGAAATTGTTCATACAATTTATGAAGTTTGAACTGCATTCTTGACTTAGATAGTCATCTGCAATATTCCAAAATCCACACAAAAAAAAAAAAAAACATATATTATTAGTTCTACAATCACAAGTAACACAAAAGTGCAAGTTACGAATACCCATCAATAAATATTAGCTCAACTGGTATTAATATGCTTGATAAAAGGTTTTCTGGTTCGTCCTCTGAAATTCACATAAAATTTGTGACTTTACACACAACTTTGGGCTACGTCAACACCAACGCAAGGAAAGTGGGCATCAATATAAATTTCTTTTTTTTTTTATGAAAGAGGATGATGCTAACAGGTTTCTAGTTAACTAATTAAGGAGTGTTAGGTACAATTTTTCCCATTTATGAACTAGTAATAAATTACAACTCAAGGAGTGTTAGATACCATAAAAGAAAACCAAAATTGCAACAGTAATTAATTAGTACTGTAAATTAATTTCATTATACCATAAGTAGAAGAATTATTGTATTCCTATATCTCATATGATGGTGAAATCCCTGAATAATTTTCATAACAAATCTCCTGTTTTTGTAAGAAAACAAGTACAATTTCTGACATATCTAATAATTTTTTTTGAGTTTTGTACATATCGTGATTTTATACAATTCAATTTTTTTATTTATTGAGATTCTAAGTTTTTTTCTATTTAATTTAAGAGTTCTACTGTTATATTATTGTTTTAGATTTTAATGTATTACATAAGCATATGTTGCAAGCTATAACCAATGACAACTTATCATACGTCATGATGAGTTCAAATTAGATGATCGAATTGGTGATGTGACAAGTTGTCATTGTTTAGAGCTTGTCAAGTATGCTTATATGATAAATTAAGGTCTGAAATAATAACAATATAATAGTAGAATTCTTAAATTGAATAAAAAAATTTAGAATCTCAATAAAAAAAATTTTGAATTATATGAATTCTTCGATATATGTAAAACCCATTTCTTTTCACATATATACCTCTTAGTTTAGATCTACGGGAACTGTAATTGGACAGTTAGCCTTCACCTTACAAGATGACATGTGATTAATCAATTAGCATGGATGAGTACTCACTGTTCTTTGCTTGCACACAGGCATCATGCCTCATACAACAAGCATCAAGACCATCACAAGGCTTCTCTCCTGGGCATCCACTGTATAGAAGTCCACAATACTTGCCATATCTCAAAAATGGGGGCACTGCCATTCACATAAATCAACAAAAAATTGACCATAGAAAAAAACATAATAAATAAATAAATAAAACCCTAGATAGCTCAAATATGCATAGATGAAGTAATTCTGTCCCTTATTTTTTACAGGCTTGGTAAACTGCAATTTTTTGCACACAAGTAACCTTCCTAAACGTTAATTTTTTTGGAAAGAAAAGAAACATTGGATTACCTGAACAGAACTCAGACTCACATTTCCTACTACAATCTTTGCCCTAAGGAAGACAAAGAATTTATTTTTTCAAATTTTAATTACACAGAGGCGTATATAAGAAAAAATAACAAAAAATTGAGAGATGAAGAAAAGAACAAACCAGGGAGATATCAGAACCAGCTGCTTGAACTCCAATGTTGAGTGCCTGGACAGAAAAAGAAGAGAAGGGAAGGAGAAGTAGGGAACAGGAAACCAGAAGAGCCAACTTCAATGAATAATAGTGGTACTCCTTCGCCATTGTTTTTAGGACTGAAAAATGAAGCTTGGTTTTGCTTAAAAGGCAGAGAATATATGGAAAGAAGAAGGGAGAAACGTATATTTTTTATCGAGAGAGTGAAGAAAGGAAGGAAGGGATGAGTTTGTCTTGTAATGGCTCGTGATACGTTTTTGGAGTATTGTTCAAGTTCACACTTCTGACCAAGGTGAGATAATTGATAATTGGAACAAATTATGGGGTGGTTGTAGGGTCCATCTCTTGTGAACTTGCTCTTTCAACCAACTCTCTACCAAAATGCTATAAACTGTGTTACAATTAATTGAGAACGTGGGGTGTTGAAGTAGTGGAAATGTCAAGAATTTCTAGGGTCCAAAAAAAGACAAAAAACAAAGATAAATTGTAATATTGTGTTGTGATTTGATTGATGTACTGTGATGTATTGCCAAACAAAGATATTATATCATTTTGTAATAAATTATCATGTTATATACTCTGATAGTGACCATAAAGGACATAAAACGCAAGCTTTTTAGTAGCCAAATTAATGAATAAGAGATATTGAAATTATATTTTGAAGTTGAATTTGTTTATTAATGATTTTACGGTAAAAGTTACCTCCGTTTTATTACAATTTTATACTTTCAAGATTTTATTATTAATTTTTGTAATTTAAATTTTAAAATATTAATTTTTAGCTCAATCTTATCTAAAATTTAATTTTTTTTTATTATTTGTAATTTTCAATCTAGTTCACTGTTTTATTAATTTAAAAAATATTAAAAATGCTTTTTTTATTTTTTAAGAGAGATTCTTTTTATTTAAAATTTTCATATACATTAATTCTTTTAATTTTTCATAGTCAATCAAATTGTTATTTATGTATAATTTTTTTAATTAAAAAAAAACTCTTATATAGTATCATCATCCATTAAAATAATCAACTTCTATAGTTTATAAAATACAAATCAATATCTATTATTTGAATTTGATCAATTGAAATTATCAAATAATTAATTTTAACTGAAATTTTTCTTTTGTGATGCCAATAAATTTATTCTTGTAATTGTCAATCATTAAATTTTAAATATAGCTGTATTTATTTAACTTTTTATCTTCACATGTTTTATAAGATTTTGTATTCTCACAATTGACTACAATATATAATATGCATTTAAAATTGCTAGAGTTAGAAAACCATTTTTAAAACTTTTCTAATTTTATTTTATTTTTAGTTTTTTAAAGATAGGTCCAAAAAGTGAAAGCTTTTTTTCAGAGAGAGAATAAAAAAATAGTGATAAATTTAATGATTTATTTATTGATAAATGAGTGAAATAAAAATCTCTCTTAAAATATGGAGGAAAAGCATTTTTAAGGTCTTTTTTTTTAAATTAACAGCTGAAAAAAATAATAACAGTCAATTAGATTGATCGTTATAAATAACAAAGAAATTGAAATTTAGATAAAATTTATTCAAAAACTGATATTTTGATATTTAAATTACATAAATTAATAATAAAAAGATCTAAAATTACCAAATTGTAATAAAGCGAGTGCAATTTTTTCCATTAAACAGTTTATTAATATATAATGCATTTGTATATATTTTAATTTAATTGTTTTAGTATATACCATTTCTTGTTTAGTGCTGCTTCTTTTATATTTGCGTATGAGATAATATAATTAACTTTGTAGTTCATCGGTGAATCTATTGGTTGAATCAGTGACCTTGTCAATTGACCAGATCATCATAAAAATCAGGTTTTTAAATATAGGTATATAAAATTTGAATTAATTAAGAGAAGGGAAAAAAAAAAAGGTAGTAAAATTAACGATGAACTAGTAATTAGGTTGAGATCGTGTATCATATGTATAATAGTTTTTTTTTTCTCTGGTTAATAAGATAGGTAATTAGGATTGAAAATTGTATGTAGATATCAGTTGTCTGATCAGAATCCATTGTTTTTTGAACATACAGTAAGTTGTTTTCCGGTGAGCAATTTGAGTTAATTCATAAAAACTTTATTATTAAAAATACTACTATTAAATTTCAGCCAATCGATACTATTCCTAAAATACCACAAAAAATATGGGCCAAACTCTTTTTGTTTTGCCAATCGATCAAAAGATATATGGATTGGTAGCAGGACTTCCTGTTTGTCAACTAGAAGTTTAATTTAATTCCTTAATTTGTGGTTAATCTTTTTTTTTTTTCCTCAACATTAACTTTTTTTGAGGGGTATAGAGCAAGGAATATCGCCACTGATTTCTAAAGTAAATTATATATAAATTAGTCTCTTTAGTTTTTAAAAATAAATTAATTAGTCCTTATTTCAAAAACTAATATTTATTTAACCTTTATTTAAAAAAAATTCTTTTAACTTATATATATATATATATATATCCTCTCGATCATGTCAACTAGCTAATTACCAGAAAGAGGGCATTTCTAGAAGCTCTACTACTAGTTAATTATTAATAATTAGGATAGCTTCCAAGCTTTACCGCCATTGATGCTGAATTTCTTAAGCCTTCGAAAGAAAATGACAAGAATGAGGATAAATTTTCCCATGCTACCCCACCTTCCAACTACTCCAATCCATGCATCTTTGCACAAGTTGTCTGGTTCAAGTTGTTATTGTTCGCAGCTGAGCCCAACATTTCCACATGCACTACAAAATATATGATTAATTTTACAATGTAGAGTTAATAATATATTGTTCGCAGCTGGTTCAACTTTTCTCTCTCTGTGATACAAATGAGAATCACAAAGATGGCCAAGGAAGATAGAGGTGAGAACATTAGGCGCTGAACCAAAGATTTCCTCTGGTTTTTGCATTTTTGGTCAGTTTCTGAAACAACCTCTTCCTCCTGTTGCTTTATCGGCAAAAACAAAGTGTAAGCTGGGAAATAACTGCAAAGACAAAATGTTGTCTGATCATCAAGATGGACTCAGTAATTGATAAAAGATGATAAGGGTAAGGGGCAGTCATGGCTCAGATTGCAAGAAGTGGGCTAGTAATTTGTTGGGGTCAAAATTGAATACTGATATTTTGGATTGGGCTTATATATGAACTCAACCTTAATGGTTGAACCAGCATAGCGCCAGATTCCTTAAATTTCTCACCTTTCATCTTTATTTATCGAATCTTTTTTCTTCCGCCGGTTAAGCAAAAACAAGCAATATATTCAAACACAACTACCAAGCCGAAAACAAAAGGCAATAATTCAGCAATAATAAGGTTTAATGACGCTCCAAAAGTAAACTACAAATTTTTCTCAACCCACAATTAAATCAACCGACAAAATAAGGCAAGTTGAAACCAACCGACAAACAAAAACAAAAAAGCCGAACCCTAGGCTAGCTGTGTCTATTTGCTAAAATTAAGACAAAGAAGGCATACTTTGTTTAAAGGGCCTGATGTTCGTCCTGACAAAGTGCAAGCCTAGCCCATCTCCATTTTATAACTCACTTCATTTCTCAATGAGTAACTAGTGAGACAGAGAGAAACAGGCAAGAAAAAATTTTTTTTAAAAAAATTAAACAAACGTGAAAGTCTTCTTATCGCTTTTGGTGGATTCGGATATAATTTTTTATGTTTATCTCTCTTTTTCAAGTAGATTTATGAAATAACTACTATCCATATTATTAGTTACTCATTCAGTATTATAAAATTTTCCATTCATCCTTTCCCAACAGATACGTATAAAAATAATATGTCGAGCACAATTTATGGCTGGTGGTCTTGGTTTTGTGGAGGCTATCAAGACAAAGAAGGCATACTTTCACCGATAATGCTCGCTGTTTCTGTTTACTGTACTAGGAACCTACTTGTTCCTACAGAAATTCAAGAAGTTAAGAGCAAAGGCTAATCAGCGGCCACCAGGTCCTCGCGGCCTTCCCATAGTGGGCTACCTTCCATTTTTAGGGCCACATCTTCACCAATTGTTCGTGGAGTTGGCACTAACTTACGGTCCAATCTATAAGCTGTCAATTGGACGGAAGTTATGTGTCATAATAAGCTCTCCAACATTGATGAAAGAGGTCGTACGTGACCAAGGCATAACATTTGCCAATCGGAATCCAACTATTGCAGCAAAAACTCTCATATGGTGGAAAGGATATTGCGTTTCAATCATATAGTCCCGAGCGGGGCATGCTGCGTAAAATATTCGTGCGGGAGAAGCAAAGCAATGCAAATCTTAACCGGTTTTATTCTTTGAGGAGAAATAAGGTCAAGAAGAGTGTTAATGACATGTTCAGAAAAATTCTTTTAATATTGGGGAATTGGCATTTTCAACTGTCATCAATATGACATCAGGCATGTTTTCGGAGGGTACGTTAGAAGGAGACGCTACCAAAAAAAGGGAATTTAGAGATTGTTTTAACCGTTGCTAATTTAGCACCGGATTACATCTTTAAAATCCTCAATAGTATTCTCCATCACGATTTATTTAGATGATATCTCACAAAAATAAAAATAAAAATTGACATCACTTAAAGAAAGTTCGTATCTTAAATGGACAATCCTAATAGATTGAATCTAACTTTTCTAGGATTTAGGCAATGTTCGTTTAATCTTAAAGTTTCTTCAAACTTTTGGATTGTCTAAATTACTAATGAGATAATTCAGCCTCTAACCTTATGGATCAAGAGATATAAGAAGGTCGTTCCATAATTTTCTATGCATAGAGTGAGTTCCAATCCAAACGAGAGTCCAGATGAAAATCAATAGACTTTTGTTTTACTTGCTTTCGAATCCATAGATCTAAATCCTAATAGAGTTTTAACTTGGATCCAGAGCTTCAACGAGTTTTCTCATAGTGTGTGCAACAATTCAAAGGAACACATCCAATCCGAGTTCACAAGATAAATATGTATAGAAATTAAAGGAAGATAAATTACAAAAATTAAAAATTTGAAATATATACTAGAATTAAAACAAATAACTAAAGAATTACATGACCAAAATAAATGAATTGGAAAATAAGTGAAAAAAATAAATAAAACTAGATAAATTATAAGACGAAACCTATGGCCTAACTCTAAATCTCTAGTGGAGTCGTCATTCTATAACTACGTGACGTTCATAAGACTTTCAAAAAAAAAATTAAGTTATTTATTGTTGAAAATTTGTTTATTTTAAAAATATGAGTTATTATTAATTTTGAACTTTCGTCTTACTTGCTTTCAAATCTATAGATCTAAATCATAATAGATTTTTAACTCGGATCCGGAGCTTCGGCGAGTTTTCTCATGATGTGGGCAATAATTCAAAGTAACACATCCAATCCGAGTTCACAAGATAAATATGTACAAAAATTAAAAGAACATAAATTACAAAAATTAAAAATTTGAAATATATACTAGAATTAAAACAAAAAACTATAGAATTAAATGACCAAAATAAATGACTCAAAAAATGAGTGAAAAAAATAAATAAAAGGAGATAAATTATAAGATTAAACCTATGGCCTAACTCTAAATCCCTAGTGAAGTCGTCATTCTATAATTACGTGACGTTCGTAGGGCTTTCGAAAAAATATTAAGTCATTTCTTGTTGAAAATTTGTTTATTTTAGAAATATGAGTTATTATTAATTTCGGAGTTATCACCTAATATTATAGGTAACTAGAAACCTAAAATGGATATTGGTTTAGGAATTCTCGAATAAGGAGTTGGTTATGCCTTTATATAGGTGACTAGAAACCTAAAATAGATACTTGGTTTAGGAATTCTCGGATAAGGAATTGGATATGCCTTTAGAAAGATATGAATGACCTAAAAGCATCATTTCTTAGAAAAAGGTGTTACGTTAGGTTTAGTTGTAAAGTTTGTCTCTTAAAAATTTTTATTTTTACCAAAATTGATCTTAAGTCAAAATTTTGAGTTTTATTTCCTAAGCCAAATTAATTTTTTTTAATTTTGTACGTGGCACCGGATTAAATTGATCATCGAACCGCTCCGTCGGGCGTCTCATCAATTTAACATCGGATCTAGTTTAAGTTTCGACATAACCGGTATATTGAAAAATAACTCGATTACTAAAATTTGATCGATTGGGTTAATATCGATCCCTATTAGATATAAAACATTGTTAATTTTTCATATATTTTTTCTTTTTCTTTTTTCTTCTTTCTTCTTTCTTATCTTTTTATTTTTAATTTTACCTAACATTTTCCTTTCTTTCTTTCCTTTTTTTTTTTCCTGTTTTTTTCCCTTCCTTTTTTGCTTTATCATTTTTCAATCATTTTCCTTCCTTTTTTTTTTTAATATCATTTTCTTTAGTGTTTTTTTTATTGGTGAAAAATCGTCATTAGTCCCTAAAAATTTAAAGACTCAACGATTCGTCCACCTATTATTTATCTAATCTAATTATTCAAATAAAACCTAAAAACTAAACATTTTGGGATTAAAAAAATAAAAAAAAATATCACAATTAAAAATATTAAACCTAAATTAGGCATGAAATACGAAACATGTATTTAAGAAAAATTCAGGATTGATTTATCTAGGATAAGGCTAAAAATAAGGTTACTGGGCCCTTTGAACTTATTGGGTCAGGCCTAGCCCAAATTTGGGCCCAAGCTCGTGGTCTACTCCCTCTTACACCACCCTAAGACTAAACCACCAAAACCTAGCCCAAGCCCATCTGTCCTAAAACCAGCCTAAAACTAAACCATCAAGGCCTGGCCCAAGCATGTCTAAGCAGCCTAAGCCCTAAACAGCACCAGCCCTATCCAGCCCAACTCTCCTAGCCCCAAACTAAACATTCTTCCTCTCTCTCTCTTCCCCTTTCTTCTTCCTCTCAAACCGAATTTCCCAGTTCTCTGTTTCTTTCTTTCCTACTGCAACACTACTGCTGCAACACTAAGGTCCATTTCACTTCCTATTCCTATTGTTTACTCTCCCATCAACACACGCTAGATTTTGTTTAACACATGCAGTTTGGGATTACCAGATACAAAGAACAGAAATGAAGGGGTCCTCCATTAGAACAAAAAGAAGCAGATATTCAACCTCATAACTAGCAACAATTAAGCATCTAGGATAAGATAAATGAAACAGAAGGGTGAGTGAACATACCTATGCCAAAAAGGAAACAAGATTGAGGGTATATAGATAGGATTTGAACAATTTGCCAACTGCTATCGAGAAGGACAACAGATTCAGGGTGATTGCCAGCCTTGATTCCTTCTATTTGGAGGAATTCAATACCCTCTCCTACTCTTTTCTATTTCTAATTAGAGACTAAGTACCCATTGTTTGGTTTTCTGGGTTCTCAAAACAGAGAGTTCTTTGGATCGCTCAGTGCAACCCAGGAGATCTTCTCTGTGAAACCCAAAAAATTGTCCTAAAAAATTCCTCAAAAATCCTCTCTGAGTCCCCTTTAAATCTTAACTCTCAAAACCCAGAAATTTCATAAACCCAGAATCAATTTCCTTTCGGCAAAGCCAGAAAAGAAATGCTCCCTCCATTTTTTTTTTCAACCCAGAAATCCACCCCCATTTATGCCTAAAACTTAACTCTCATCAACCCTAGGATCCTCCCCAATTAATCCTGGCCCGTCCCACTAAAAATCCAAAACAGAACTCCTGCAATTTGGCCATTTCTGTACAAAGCAAGAAAAACCAAGACTGAAATGTGTTTGTGCAGGTACGGTGTAGGTGTGGTGCAAGGTGGAGTGCTTTTTGTGGTGCAGCACGATTCTTGGTTGGTACAATTTCCAGCCAAGGATCGTTTGTTGTTTTGGGTAATTGTCTTCAACGAAGAAGATAATGGCCAACGAAGACAAAGGAGATTTGATTCTGGGTTGAAGTGAACGACAGGTCATTGGACCTTTTCGGTCCTGTCGTTCGCTCCTCAATTTCTATTTGGTTCTCATGTATTTCGATTATTCGCAATTATACCCTTTTTACAGAAATTTTGGTCGGTATTTCTTTTAATTTTCTCAATTGGGACCTTATATCCTTTAAATTTAGTCCTAGGGTTTTCAATTTTTTTAATTGTATCCTCAATAGTTCCAATTTTAGTTTTGATTTTATTCTATCATGCCCCTAATTAATTATGCCATGCAAATTTTGAATTTTTTTATTTTTTATTCTATCCCCCCCCCTTTTATAGTAAATTCCAAAATAAAATAAAATAAAAATAAAACAAATAAAAAAGGATTAAAAAAATTGAGGGAAATTTTAGGTTATGACATGGAGTATTAATGAAGTAGTAGAAAAATTTAGTAGTATAAATGTTAGATATCTCTAGGGTTCTCAACAAAAATGTAGTAGGTTATGACATGGAGTATTAATAAAACTTCTGATTGAAAAACTAGAATTTCTGCCGATCCATCTTTCGATTGATTGGCAAAACAAAAGAAGCTTGGCCATATTTTTAAGTGTTAAAAACATGGCCAAGCTTCTTTTGTTTTGCCAATCAATCGAAAGATGGATCGGTAGAAATTCTAGTTTTTTCAATCAGAAGTTCCGATTTCCAATCTTTTACGAGAGATCTGACCCATATTTTCAAGATGGTAATTTAATTCCTCAATTTGTGGTTAATTTGGTTTCTAACATTAATGTTTTTTTAGGGGTACGGAGCAAGAAATATCGCCACTAATTTCTAAAGTAATTACAGATTAGCTTCTTTAGTTTCAAAAATCAAATTGATTAGTCATTTTTGTTTTAAAAATTAATCTTATAACTTAATTCTTTTCATTTCTTTTCAATTTATTTTTATTTTAAGAAATAAAAAAATTAAGTAAAAAATATCAAAAGATTGATAAAAAGATGATATATATATATATTTTTTAAATAACATAATATTAAATTAAGCGTAATCATTAAGTAATCTTACAGGAAAATGTTTCAAATAAATTTTCCCATGCTACTCCACCTTCCATCAGGTCCAATCTATGCATCTTTCCACAAGTTGTCTGGTTCAAGTTGTCGTTTGCAGCTGTAGCCAGTTGAGAGCCCAACATTTCCATATGCACTACAAAATGATTAATTTTACGAAGTAGAGTTAATAATAATTTATAGAATACAAACAATATTTTGTTGATTATAATAATATAATCAATAAAAAATAATCTAAAAGCAAAAAAATAAATGTTAGAAAAATTGAAATGAACTTGAGGAAGGACGAAAATATGTAATACTTAATTACGTGCGGAAAATACTCCACACTCGTCCTTAAGGTGATTATTGCCCTCACTATAATGCTGCAGGGATTTTAGCAATTCACCTCTATAATACAATTTTTGCACACAAAAAACTGCATGTAGCACTTTTGAAATTCTTTCAAGAGAATATCTCTTAAAGTTGTAGAGTCTTAGGAAGAAAAAGAATTTTGAGAGGAGAGGAGGATTGCGAGAGAATGTAATTGATTTCGTTATGTGCGGTAGTCCTCTATTTATAGATTACTAATACCTTTTCATAACAAGCACGATTGTTGATTCTAACGAGTCATAATCCAATAGACATAACTATTAGACCCTAACGAGTCATAAAGTTTGAAAGCTATTAATAACTAATAAGCTACAACGGAAAATTAAATACGTAATTAAGTAAATAATTACGAATTTAATTACATCAAGAAATAAAAATAAATTTCTTAATCACATATGCACACGTGTAAAATACTAAGTGTTAGTCTTTGATTATTTAAATATATATATTTATATATACAATTCCAACCAATTAGTCTAGTTTTTCCTCAAATTCTTTCAATCAAATATTTGAAAGTTTTGCTATAGATACACTTTATAAGCTGCCTCTTCTTTTCACTCCTTTCCAATGTGGGATAAAATTTCACTTAAAAACACTTTCAAATTTCCTTCATAATACACTTTAAGTTATTATCTAACGTTCTTAAGATTTCTAACAATAAATCATTGCAACTGATCTTGCTCTTAGTTATGCAACAGCATGGTCAAACCTCAGCACTAGACGTTATTCTTTGCTTTTGATTTAAGTATCTTTTCTTGAAGAAGCTAAGAGTTTTAGGAGAGAAGAAATATCAGAAATAATGTGCCTCAAACTGAAACGAATTTGAGCTTGAAAGGAGAAACACAGCAGCAACAAGAATCAAATTATCCAATGATAAGCTTCAAGCTAGTGGCGTTCAATTAGGCAGGATTGATTAACTATATTCTCTACGTTTAGTGAAAGTGATATTCTGCATAAGTTGACTTTCTATGAGAGGTCCTCTTTTTATTTTTATTATTTATTATTATTATTATTAACTAAGGTCGGTACGAAGTGCTTATTTCAAAGTGGACTTTCCATGGGGGCAAAACAAAATGATTTCAAGTTTTTTTTTTTTAATTTTTAATAAAAATTTTGTATTTAATTTTTTTTAATGTTTTTTCGTAAATTTTTCTATTAAAAAAATATGATTCATTCTGTTTTATCCATTGATTCTTAAATAACAACTTGTAATAATTTAAATTGAAATATCAATGAAGAATTCAAAAAAACAAAAAATTTGAAAATATATTTTTCATAAGATTGTATCTAAAAAAATAAAACTATGGTTAATGTATTATAGACTTGTATAAAAATTAACAAATAAAAAAATCTTATTTAAAACTACCGAGAAGATTTTTTTTAAAGTATATGCATTTGATTTATATATATTTATTTAATAAAAAATTAATAATATTAGCATAAAAAAATTATATTTGAATCATTATGTGGTTCTTTTAAAAAATTATTTTATCTAAATAGTTGGTATTATGTGTGAAGATATATATTTAATTTTTAATAAAATCGATGATTCAATATTTTTATGTATATACCATGATCATACTTAATGGACTGAAATGCGTTATATTTTAAATATAGGCTGCTATTTTTAAAACAATTCTAAGAATTCATAATATATATTATATCAATTTATTTTAAAAAAAGAGAAAAAAAATCATGTTTTAAATTTTATTCTAAAATCCAATTATAGAGAAGAATAAATTATATTTATCAATAAAGAAAATTTTATAAAAAAATAAATTGGATGATAATTTTCATACGAAATAACAAATTCAAAGAATAAATTTTAAATAATAAGAGTAATATAATTATATATATATTCCTCGAAGCTCTCCATGAAAAAACACAAATAATAATGGTCAATGTTTTATAATTTTTGCTTAAAATCAAAGTAAATTAAAAAAAAAAAAAAAAGGTGCATGCGTGAGGGACTAGGCCTAAAGCACATGGCCCGCACTCTTAGCATTAGAGGTGATCATTCGGTTTTTTGATTCAATTTCGGTGTTTTTTTTTTTTTGGGTTAATCGAATTAGCTAAAATAAAAACCAAAACCTAACGAAATTGAGGTTTGGTTTTTTGGTTAAAAAACCAAAATTTTCAGTTCAATTTTTTGATTTTCGGTGAAAAATTGATTTTTTTTTTCCTTCTAAAAATTGAATTATTTTGCTTTAAAAAAATATCCAACTTGCATAATCAAAGATTGCATATTTCACATTTGATTTTATAAGAAAATTATGTATGATTATTATTATTTTTCTATACTAAATTTGTTTATATTTATATTATAAATTAAATTAGTTCGGCTTCTCATTATTTTTTCAATCACGTTATAATTGATTTTTTTATTAATTTTTTATATTCTTTTTTTTTATCTACTTATTTTGTGCATATTTTATTGTTGAATAAATAATATGAAAAATCCAATTTTTAATTTATGTTTGTGCCAATTTTAATACAAGGAGACAATTTGTTTTTTTTCATGAGGTTTTAGGATTTACCTACATATAAATTTGTGTATTTATAAAGAATTACTTTATCACAGTCTTTTTTTTATTTTTTTTGTGAGTTAATATAATATAATAAATTATTTTATTATTTCAATAAATAATTAATGGAAAATATTTTTATTTTAAGGAGAAAAAAATCATTAAAGCTATTGTTCTTTTAGTTAAACCCATAGGTGCCTCTTTAATTTTTTTTTTAAAAGAGCTTGGGTATGTGTTTTAAAAAAAAAAAATTGGTTTTCGGTGGAAACCGAATTTGAAAAAAAAAAAAACCGAACCGAACCAAAATAATTTTGGTTTTCGGTTTCGGTTTTTTTTTTCAAAATTTTTTAAAAACCAAACTGAAATTGCTTGCTAATTTGGTTTGATTTTTCGGTTTTAACCAAATAATGCTAACCTCTACCCGGCATGGAGGACTAGGCCAGCACATGCTAAGATTAAAAAAAAAAAAAAAAAGATTGTTTTTAATTTTCAGCAACTTTTGTAATTTCGACGACCTCAATTTTGTCGGGTTTTTATTTTTTATTTTTGGTCTCTCGAAACTAAATTTAACTCTGTTTTTCTCCCAAAACACCTCAAATCACATATATAACATCAACAAACTCATTTATAATCTCAAAATCCATTTTAATGCATACAAAACACACAAAAATTTAAATAAAAGAAACTTAAAATATTTTCAGATTTTGATTTATATCTTCCTGTCATTTCATGACTTATAACTATTACAAACAGACTCTTCTAGAAGAATAAAATGATGATAAGTTTGACGGTGGAAATGCCTCTCTCTCTCTCTCTCTCTCTCTCTCTCTCTCTCTCTCTCTCTCTCTCTCTCGCTCTCTCTCTCTCTCTCTCTCTCTCTCCGAGCTGATAGGAACCAAAATAAAAATCAAACGAATTTCAATATCGAAACATCGGCATATCTATCTAAGCATCAAGTTGTCAAGTGGGTACCTGACTCAAGAAAGGTTTGAACCCTAATATTTTCGTATGTTGTGCACAAGGTAATTAATTAATTAAGCGTCCACATATATGACAAATTTTAAAGGGTGGTGCCTGTCTTCCATGAAAAATAAATAAATGAATAATTCTAATGACACTAAAATTATATCCCCTTGTGGCTCGTAGTGCCGTGAACGGATCTTATATTTTCAAGATTCGATCGTCAAATAATGGCCAGATAAAGTTAATGGTTGTTTAACATAATATTAATTAAGGAGTATTTTTTATCTCCTTAATTAATGTTATGTTAAACAACCATTAACTGACGCTGATTTTTCAAATCTTTCTCGTCATCAGCATTAGTTGGAAATAGTAGTTGTTAGAATCTCCAAACAACGATAAAGGTTAAGGACAAAATATTTGCTATTTATTCAATTATTTATATTTTGTTTATAGCTGAAATACTCTTCGTAACAAAACTCTGGTAAAATTCTATAAAGATAGATAAAATAATGATAGAGGTTAGGGATAAAATCGTTGCTCGTTACTCAATTATTTGCTCTTTATTTTCTCTCTCTAAAACTGGATTAACAATCGATATACTCTTTATATTACAAGCAATTGATTAATCATAACTCTCTCAATTTAAGGTTCACTATAAAATAGTTGCTTTTTGTTCAATTATTTATATTTTGTTTATAGCTAAACTCCAAATAAGAAATACAATTGTGATTTTATATTTATTTATTTTTACTTTTTGTTTTTTGTTTTTTTTTTTTAATTTGGTATCGAGCCTAAAAACTTAGCAGTCGTTTCCTTATATTTCTCCATCATTTTTGTTTTTGTGTGTCTTTTGCAAGCAAATAATTTCGCTATCATTTTTTTTTCTTTTAATTTGCGTAATTTGCAAGTAGATAATCGTCTCTTTTAGCAATACTTTCACTGCCACAGACACACAACTGCCTACCTCCCTAACCCCGACTTGTCACTATGCTCATCACTTTATTTATCTGAAACTTAAGTCAATTAATTTTTTACTCTAGCGTATTCAGATGAAATCCCTTTTAGAAATTATACTTAATTGTTTTATAGGTACATCACATGACTATTTTTAATTTAGAAAACTTTGTCTTTATATATATATATGTGTATACTAATTGGATGTTCGCGTTACACTTCAATTCAGGTAAAATAAAATCATTATAGTACATTAATTCATGTCCTGAATTCACTAAAATATATTAAATCAAACATATAAAAAAACACTATATTTTTATAATTTGTTAATCAAAATCTTTTTTATTTAAATAATTCTTTCTCATATTCAAATACAAAGCCCAAAACAACAAGCAATAATAAGATTTAATTACACTAAAAAAGTAAACTACAAGTATGTCTCAAGTCACAATTAAATCAACCCACAAAATAAGACAAGCCGAAACCAACACACAAGCAAACAAAAGAAAAAATGCCAAACTCTACCCATAGCCGAATCCTAGGTTGTCCTTGTCTTTATTATAAGAGTGATGCTAAACATTTAGAAAAAGAAGGCATACTTTGTTTAAAGGGTCTGAGGTTGGTCCCGATAAAGAGCAAGCCGAGCTCATTTCCGTTTTATAACTCACTTCATCCTCTCCATTTGATAAATCACTTCATCCTTTCCCAATTGATACGCATAAATATAATATATATGTCGAGCCCAATTTATTGCCAGTGGTCTTTGTTTTGTAGAGGCGATCGAGACAAAGAAGGCATACTTTCACCGATAATGCTCGCTGTTTCTGTTACTATACTAGGAACCTGTTTGTTCCTACAGAAATTCAAGAAGCTAAGAGCAACTGCTAATCAGCTGCCACCAGGACCGCGTGGCCTTCCGATAGTGGGCTACCTCCCATTTTTAGGGCGAAATCTTCACCAATTGTTCATGGAATTGGCACTAACTTACGGTCCAATCTATAAGCTGTCAATTGGACGGAAGTTATGTGTCATAATAAGCTCTCCAACATTGGTGAAAGAGGTCGTACGTGACCAAGACATAATATTTGCCAATCGGAATCCAACTATTGCAGCAAAAACTTTCTCATATGGTGGAAAGGATATTGCATTTCAACCATATGGTCCCGAGTGGCGCATGCTCCGAAAAATATTCGTGCGGGAGATGCAAAGCAATGCAAATCTTGACGCGTTTTATTCTCTGAGGAGAAATAAGGTCAAGAAGAGTGTTAACGACGTCTTCAGAAAAATTGGCGAACCTATTAATATTGGAGAATTGGCATTTTCAACTGTGATCAATATGATATCAGGTATGTTTTGGGGTGGTACGTTAGAAGGAGACACAGATATTGATATTGGGACCAAGTTTCGATCGGCAGCCTCAGAACTTGTTGAGATATTGGGAAAACCAAATGCCTCAGACTTCTTTCCAGTCCTTGCAAGATTTGATGTACAAGGAATAGAGGGGGAAATGAAGAAGGCAACACAAAAGATCGAGAACATTTATGATTTTGTCATAGATGAATGGATTAAAATGGACATCTCAAGAGTTGAAGGTGAAAAAAATAATCAAAGAAAGGACTTCATGCATTTCCTATTGGGGTTTAAAGAACAAGACAGTGGCAGATCAATTTCACGAGAACAAATTAAGGCTATGCTTATGGTAAAATCTCTACTTCCTTCTCTTTGCTTATAAATCATCAGCAGGAAAAATGGACAACGACATCATACGTGTCATTCTAACAAATTCTAATGATGCATGACAGGACATCGTGGTCGGCGGCACCGACACAACCTCGACTACAGTCGAATGGGCAATGGCAGAAATGATGCTCCACCCTGAAGTGATGAAAACTGCCCAGAAAGAATTAACAGAAGCGGTGGGCATCAATGAAATTGTTGAAGAATGCCACATTGAAAAGTTACAATTCTTGCTTGCAGTTGTGAAGGAGACTTTAAGATTGCACCCAGTAGCCCCACTGTTATTACCCCGTTCCCCATCTAAGACTTGCTATGTTGGGGGATACACAATACCAAAGAGTTCGAAAGTTTTCTTGAACGTTTGGGCTATACATAGAGATCCTAAATTTTGGGACAGTCCGTCAGAATTTCAACCAGAAAGATTTTTGAGTGATATTAATAATAAATTGGATTATTCTGGGAACAATTTGCAATATCTTCCATTTGGATCCGGTAGAAGAATTTGTGCGGGGCTGGCTTTGGGCGAAAGGATGCTCATGTATTGTTTGGCCACTTTCTTACATATGTTCAAGTGGGACTTACCAAATGGCGTCAAGGCTGATACATCAGAGAAGTTTGGGGTTGTCTTGGAGAAATCAACTCCTCTAATTGTCATTCCAACACCCAGATTGTCCAACTTAGACCTCTACGCATAATGGTGATTATGCTTCGACCTCAAAGTGCTCCAGAAAATAGTTATTGCCCTGATATATATGTGATGATCGTGTAACAATAATGGCTGTTATGAACAGGTTAAAACTAAGCATCTTTATTTCATTTCCCCGAATAGTTTCTATCGAAATTTGTTTGGGTAGGGGTATTTTATGGCCCAATAATGCAGGGTTAGCTCACGAATACGAGACATTATGTTAAATCACAATAAAGGACTTAATTAAAATAAATTGAAAAAAACAAGGATTCAATCAACACATTTCAAAAAATATGATGACCAAGTTGTTGTTTTTCTTTTTTAATTTCTATGTTATTTTTTTTTAATATATCGTCTCTTAAATGTCACGAATGTTCATACATGAGATCTCATTATAGTAAAAGTTGTATTTTTTAAAAAATAATTATTATAATAAGTTAATAATAATAAAATAATATGTCAAAAAAAAAAAAGAACCTAATATGCAATTATTAAAAATAAAAATATAATGATGTGCAATATCGATTAGTCATATATTTTTAGTTAATGAGTCTAATCCTCTATAAAAAATGAAAATTTTTGAATATTTGACAAATTTAAATTGAAAAATGAGGCTGCTCCTTCAAAACTATAGTTTGCAGCATGCATATTGTTTTATTTGAAATAGATAATTAGTTATTAATTAGCATTATTGTTGTTTTTATTTTAATTTTGACAAATATATTTATACTCGTTTTCTTTTAATTGCATGTTAGCTTTCTTTTGTATGTATTTATTTTTTAAAAAATTTATTATAATATTTAAAAAAAAAAAACTCTTCATAGTTTTATGGTGAAGAGATCCCACACACATATGACACATTTAGTGATATTTAAGAAGAGTTCTTAAAAAAACAACAATATGGGATAAAAATTAAAAATAATAATTTGATTTTTATATTTTTTGAATTGTTTTAATTGAGTCCTTCTATTATAATCTCATATATGACACATATCATGTATTTAGAAGTGGACATGTCACATCAATTCATAAACTAGACACTTTGTAATAGAATGATAGAAACAAAATAAAATAAAGAATATAAAAACTCAATCAAAATGAAAAAGATAAAAAGTTTCAATCAAAATAATTCAAAGAAGATATGAACATGATAATAGGCAAAACCTGATTAAGAACTTATAAATTAATTGGATGAGCTAGTAATAATCATCTATATTAAGTTATTTGGCATGCTTAAAAATCTGCCATGTAAACTCGAATTTGAGGATTTGATTAAAAATAATATTGAGGGATTTGATTGAAGTATATATAGATACTGATAGCCTCTAAGTATAGATAGATAACGACCACATAGATAATGATATGTATAGATAGAATCAATCTAAATATCCAATAGGAAACAATAACTATTGGGATAAAAGTCATTCATTACTTTTTGGTAAAACAAAGATTTTTTTATCTCCATGACTTTTTTTCCTCACCCAAAACTCTTAATCTATAAGAGAAATTTCTTCATAAAATATATATTTATTGCTTTATCCCGAGACTTTAAATCATATTGTTTTTTTTTCAGGACAAAGTGAATTATTTATATTGGTCCATGTAAATCTTTCAAGAAAAGGAGAAACCAAGTTCTAAATCAATGGATTGCATCATCTAACAAATGCAATTCTTGCAATTATTCAAGATATAATTACGATCTGTCATAACCCAAAATTTTTCACTTTTTTTTTGTTTCTTATTTTATTTTTATTTTTATTTCATTTCATTTTACTTTAATTTGGAATTTACTATAAAAAAAATACAAAAAAAAATATATATAAAACAATTAATCGTATCGAGGGCATAATTGAATCAAACAAAATTGAAATTCAAGCAATTAAGGATACAATCAAAGCAATTGAAAATCCTAGGACTAAAATTACAAGAAAGGGACCCAATTGAAGAAATTAAAAGTGCAAGGACTATAATGACTCACCTAAGGGTATAATTGAGTCAAAATTAAATCTACAAAGACCTAAATTGACATGAGATGCAAACGATATGACCAATTTGAAATCAACTCGAATGATCTATTGTCCGAATCCTCCCCAACTCGTCATGGCATGCTCGCCTTGTATCACACCACCCTTTGACATGTTCATCTCCGGTAATTGTCGAGTGACAAAATTGGCCTACTCCCACAACTCTTGCAACCGTGGCTACTATACTTGCACCAACCTACACAATAAAAACACCAAAACAGGCAAAACCCAATAGACATATATAAAGCACAATTGTTTTGGCTATGTTCATACGGAACCAAAACCGACAACAAACCGAAGAGTTTGTTCAATTGTAGGGGAGATTTTGGACTTAAGGGAATTAATCCCAAGAGTGAGGAGGAGGATTCTAGGATATAAATAAAGGTCAAATTTAGGATTCAAGAAGGTAGAATGGTGAGAGGAAAAAAGAGAGAGGAACTATGGAAATCTCGGAGGAATTAGAAAAAGGGAGAATGGTGAGAAGAAAAAGAGAGAGAATTATGGGAAAACGAAGGAGGAGAGCTATGAGAAATCTCAAAACAATGAAGAGAGAAGCAATTGAGACATAATAGAGAGGGGAACAATTGAGAGCAATAGAGAGGTACAATAGACAAAAACAAATAACGAGAGAAATTTAGTGGTTTTGGATTCTTACCGAATGGGTGGAAGAAGGAGACACTAGAATTAGCGAGCGTCAAGATAGCACTCGTGGCTTCTAGATTCAAAAGGGCACTCGTTTCACCATCCGGAAAAGGCATCATCTACAACCATCGCCCATCCTAACCTAAGCTCTCACAAGTAGACATCTAGGTAAGGTTTTCCTTCAATTTGTAGTTATTACATGCATTTATGTAACCACTAACCGCTTTGAAATGAATGATGGCAAGTGACATTTGTCACCGCCATCCAACATAAGCCCCTATCGCTATTAATTTCATACACTATCACATTAGGATTGGTGAGTAAGAAGGGTTTAGATGACTCACGAGGGCTAAATTTTAGGATTATTCGAGTTAATTATAGGTTTAGGTTTTGAATTTGAGGTTGAATCGAGACTTGGGTTTGTGAAGATCGGGACTAGTTAGAAACGAGAGATAAATCTAAGGCTTGAGATCTAAAGGTCGAAGAGGGAAAATTAATTGAGATTTTAGGTTTTCTAGGGGAAAGATCTAGTAGATGAGGCAGATTAAGGATGACGGGAGATGAACTAGGTTGAAAAGAGAGACGAGCAACTTGTGTTTTGATCTAGAAAGAATTAGATTTTTTACCCGTGCTACGCTGCGAGGTAAGATAAAATATATAAAATTATTTAAAAAAATTATTTTAATTTGATATTCTATTTTATGATATGAATATATAAAATATATATAAAATCAAAGGGGAAAAATATTTTAAATATTTTAATGTAATTTGAAATTCATTGGATGACAATTTTTTAAAAAATGACAAATTAAAGTAGTAAATTTTAAATAATAAAAATAATCAATAAAAAATATTAAAAAAAATGAGATCAAACCACAATACAATTAAAGTTTGAAATAAAAAAAATATTGTATAAAAAAATTGAAGACTATATAATTTTAAATTAATTGGATGAGAAAAGAATGAATAATATTAAAATAAATGAAAACTATCATTAAATCTAATTTTAAATTAATTATATGAGAATTTGAAAAAAAAAAGAAGGCAAGTTAAAGTTATAGATTTTAATTAATAAAAATAATTAAAACAAATGGGCTAAATCACAATACAAATAAAGTTTTAATTTTTTTTAAAAAAATTGTATAGAAAATATATATATAAAAGAAAAAAAAGACACACACACATACACAAATAATTTATTGTATAAATTATAATAATGTATTTTAAAAAATAAAACACCGATATTCTAAAATTTTAATTCAAAATTCAGATATTAAAAAAAATAAATTTATTAACAAATAAAAATCATATAAATAAATTAATTTGATGTGAATTTTAATAAGAAATAAATAATTTTAAAAATAATTTTAAATAATAAAATTAATATAATTAGATATATACTCTCTCTCTCTCTCTCTCTCTCTCTCTCTCTCTCTCTCTCTCTCTCTCTCTCTCTATATATATATATATATATATATATATATATATATATATGTGTGTGTGTGTGTGTGTGTGTTTGTAGTAGAGAGAGAAGCATCTGGTTGCACATAAAAAGTGAGGGATATATATATATATATATATGTCTGTCTGTCTGTGTGTGTTTGTAGTAGAGAGAGAAGCGCCTGGTTGCACATAAAAAGTGAGGGATCATAATATATATATATATATCCAAGGTCCTCGAACATTAAAAAAAAAAAGAAGTAAAAAGTGAGGGGTCATAAAAAAGTGCAGGCGAACTTTCGATCATTGAGAGAAGCACTTGTTCTGGTTGGCGTGCAAGCTTGCAACTAGTTTGCACATATTAATAAAATAAAATAAAAAGTAAAAAGTGAGGGAGGCCAGACGTTGGCCTGTGCAGGCAAGCCAGTGTGCTTGGACCTGCCATCGTATGCCTGCATGTTAGGCCTTGCCTGCCTCCTCCAAAAAAAAAAATCCTACAACTTCCGATGAACCCGAGGTCGTTGAAAGTTCGTCGAAAAATTGGAGGTCAACTTTCAAACTCTTAGAAAATGAATTTTGACATCATTTTTTTTTCTTCAAACACATCTAAATAACCGAAATAAAATCAATAAACACATCTAAAACCTTAAAAATTATTTTAATACAAAAAAAATACAAAATCAAATCGATTTTTTTTCTTTTTTGGCTCCGATCTACCTCCTCTAATTGTTTAATGGCTTCAAACTACTATATATAAACTCATCTCTCAAAGATAAAAAAATTTAGTGGATTTTCGTCGGCTAGAGTGGCCTAAATGAGCTTGGCCGGTGATCTCTCTCTCTTGCTCTCGGCCTTCTCTCTCCACCCAAGGACCAAAATGGATGAGAAAATGAACATGTGA